GTACAATGTGTAGTTTGAAATGATTACATGTATATCAATGATATTAATACAATAATTCTAAAACACCCAACCGGAAGGATCGGGTGACATCAACCTTGGTATCAATCATCGTGGACTTGAAGTACAATGCGTAGTTTGAAATGATTATATTAATGTCCATAACTCATGTGATCAAACACATGGAACAGAACCAATGTGTCACCGATGAATGATATTCATTTGAGCATCAAGCTGATGAATAGTACGAAACAAATATAGAAGAGATTTTTAAATCAATCAATTTGAATTTCATATTGAATTCAATATTTGTTTTTCAGCAGATGAGCACAAATTGATTTTCCTTGCAAATGAAAAGAAATTAATCCATTGATATAACAAATAATATTAATTATATTTAATTAACTGTTTTGGTTTAACATCCATTCACACAGTCCCGCAGAGCTGGTAAAATGTAACAAAGTTATAATAATATGAGAATGCGCATGATGTATTATCTATAATTATTTTCAGCATACTGTACTTGAATCCAAGGCAACTAAACATATGTTACCAGGCGGTTTAATACGCCAGGTTTGTATACAAACCACAATACGTATATTGAAAGGTGAAACTCATTTATATATTAAAGGATATTCTATTGGTGTTGAACATTCATTTGTAACAGCTATCCAAAGTTCTCAAGCATATTTCTTATAACTTCTAATTTTAAAATATAGTTTGTGAATGATGGTTATGTAATGACAGGTTTTGGATATGGTATTTATCCAGAGGTAATACGCATATACATGTATAACCAAGTGACAATAGGGATGGAAATTGGATACATATTTTTTTCCTATTTGGTTTATCCTATAACATAAATATATGGAAAAATATTCTTGAGTGAATTAAATTTTTTGCTTGCATCTCCAATAAAACCTGCACATGGCTTTAAAACATAATCTTGGGTTGTTCTGAACTGTAATACTTTAAGCTTTAATGAAAGAATAGAGAACAGAATGGTGAACAAATGAGGCAAATCTTGTGTACAAATACTCACGATAAATGTGTCATTATGAGGATTGTGTCTTCTATTGCTCAGATTTTCCCTGACAATTTGAATTTTGGAAGGTTTCTAAAAGACAAGTCTCGGTTTGCAGAACAGTCTACTGGTCTACTAACACCCAAATTGAATTATGGATATTCAAAAGAGGACATTTAAATCTACAATATGTAAAGATATCAAAGCAGGAGTAACGTGCAGTAGACTGATGAACTTCTTTTTCCAAACTGAGACTAGTCCTTTAGAATATTACGTCACTATCGAATTAGAATGTGTTAAATAAAAATACTCTTGAGATTATCAAATAACTAGCTGGACTAGTGTAAGAATCAGAATGCTCGCTTGACATACAAATGACCGCGGTTTGAATCCCGATGTGTTTTATTTATTTTTTTTAAACTTAATGGTTGGCTTTGATATTACGCAGAATAAACAGTTTATAACCACGCCAACTTTATATTTGAGCATGTCTTGTTGGTAGGATGAAAATGTAAAAATAATATATGTCCACGTATTACATTTTTTTAAGCGATGTGCAGGTTTAAAGCTTATTGATAAGCTATTATTCATAGTTCATAAACAGACAACAGAGATACATTTCCAATTTCTGAATATTTTAATGAAATTATTTTTTAAAATTGCCGTTCTACTATAATTCCATCCAGGTCATAATTGTGCAAGATGATGTTATATTGTGATGCAAATGAAAGCAGACTAGAAGGTTTCATTGACATATTTGCAGATAATTTTGATATAAATAGTAATGTTTTAATCAAGACCTATATGACATGATCCCCCACACAAGTATACATCCTCCTAAGCAGGTGTCCAGAATCCGTACCTCCTTCTTCCTTTATAACCAATTTGGAAGCGCCCGATTAAACTGAATCACGTGATCTAATTATGCGCAATGACTTATACATGATTTCTGTCGCAGTGTTGCGACAGCCAATCAGATTGCGAGTTCTTAATCGGGGAAATGCTAACTGCTTATCGCAGGGGGTAAAAAGAAAGAATATATTCTGGATTTTGAAGCCCTGTGATTGGAGGATGCAAGTATACAGTATAGTTAGAAAGATCAATGAACCCCAGGCCAGGAACAAAGCCCACACTCAGCAAGATCACTATTTTTGCGTGAACTATGAATCACACATTTATAGACGCTTACTATATTCTGTAATTTGATTGGTTCGTTGAAACCGTTTCCATCATGCGACCCCTCCCCTCTTCGCCTTGAACACCCCCCCTTTCATTATAAAATGAACCCCCCTTGGTAAATCAAGGCTATGCCCCTGAAAAGGATATACCATTTCTATATTTCTAACTTCATTTTGACACTTATCTAGTTTATTTGAGATTTAAATTTAAAAATACACTTCATGAAAAAGATATAATACTCTCTGCAGCTTGCAAAAGAAAATATCAAAAATCTGGAGAAATTAGTACATTTTGTTCAACTTCTGACATGTGCAAATCTCGCTTAAATTATGATATTTGTCATAAATGCATTCTTTCTGTTCCTCAATCATTATTTTGTCAAAATATTTTAAAAATCATGAAATACTTGTATTAGAAGAAATCTTCCAGAGGAAATTTTGAGTTAAAGTTTTGTTGATAATAGTTCATCGCACATGCATTCATCAATCAAAACGTACACACAGTACAACCAATTCTTGGGATTTCCTGACATGTGCCAAACACGTCAATCAATTAAGGTGAAATCACCACTATACGGTGGAAGCTGAGACTAAAAAATTTGTTCATTACAGTTATATGTTAAAACAAGCACTGCCATGGAGTATGAAAAAATACCGATCATGAAAGTCTCCTTGTCTCATTGCATATTGGTAATAAATTATTGATCCTAAAAAAATTAATCATTTTCATTTTGACACGAATTTTATTTTATTGGAGATTTAAATTTTAAAAATACACTTCATTTTGAAATATTGATTGTTGAATCATTGTGAATTGGTAACTTTCCAGACATAGAAAACTTTTATTTAGAATATAAAAATAAAATTATAATGTAATAACAGAAAAATAACTTTCCAGATTCCTCCATTTGTGAGATACCAGCACTATACATTTATATGCAAATGGTGTTCCTAATGGATTAGAGTTACATACATGGCCTGCATTAAAATATATTATAAGTGTTAAATGCCAACATGTCATTAATGCCTGGGTCACATTTGCTCCGATTCATCTGCCGGCGCCCGGCCGATTGAGTATCCTGCTGACAATTGTATTCAGTTTTGAACAGAATACTCAATCGGCCAGGCGCCGGCCCATGAATCGGAGCTAATGTGACCCAGGCATAAGGCAAACAAAAGGTAATGAACCCATAAACATGCCGATGACTTGTTTCTAGTAATGTGGAATAACAACATTATTTCATAATAATATACTGTAACCTGACCTTGACTCCTAGATGACACCTTTTTACCATTAATCTGGGGAATCAACTGAAGCATATTCTACCTATCATTAACATCATTAATTATTTTTTTCATTAAAAACATAATCATGGATACTAAATAAACACTAAAATAATGACCATTTTTAAACAAACAGCCATTTTCAAAATTAGTTTTATATATATTTGAGTTATTGCCCAGTCAGCCAAAATGGACGTACGGGTGGATTCTCTGTATCACCTGAAAATTGCTTTGAAGCATAATTCTTACAGCTGTTTATACTACGAGAGAGCTGTTTATAATTCGACCTGGCTCATTTCAGTAGACAAACATAGATCAATAAACAATACTACTTCAACATTCAACTAATTATCAATCAAGTGTAAAATTCAAATCCAGAACCTTAATTATGCGCAACATTAAATATTTCTAGGTTTCAAATCAAATATTTTCACACCATTAATTTCCATGCTTATATGCATGCGTGATGGGCCTTATTTATAGTAATTATGTGAAATTGATGCAGAATGATGCCAACAGATGCAAACTGGTGCCAACTGATGCAAAGTGCAGACTGGTGCAAATTGATGCGGACTGGTGCAAATTGATGCAGACTGGTTAAAAATGAGGCAGACAGGTACTTTGTGATATTCTTTGATAAGAACAAAATTAGATAGTGGTGTAAAAGTAAAAACGATCAAGGTGATTCTACATATTAACAAACATGGGGATCAAAACCTAAATCCAAGCTTGTAGTATGTCCATAACATCTACATTTTTGCTAGATGGTGAAGCACAATTATGAAAATAACATTTTATTCAAAATTATACACACTTTACTATAAATTAATTTCTAGGCCTCCCATGTAAAATGCGACATTGTACTCTGAATGTTGTAATATTTGCATGGCTTCAATGTATTTCCATTATATTATTCCTATGCTCAGTCACACCATAAATAGGAAAATAAAGTAAACAAACATTGATTGATATTTACATTAATTGCAGATTGACATTTTCCAATGTGGCGTGACTGATATTTTTATCACCCAGTACGTATTAATATCAATATATTTATGCCAATTAGAAAAAATCATAAACCACAAGATCGTGAAAATTGTCATCTTTTGTTATTGTTATCTTTATAGAATACCATGTATCTAGGTACCACCTTTAACCGATTCAGAATTTTATCTGTAATTTTAGGTTTAGCTACAGGTAAAGGTGATTTCACACTTGAGAGGCTCCCAAGGCTTGCACACATTTTTTACTATCAAAGCTCAATTTCTGTATCTTCAGTTAAATAGAAAAACTTAGTGCATAAACAGATGCAGCAGTGATCTTTCCAGCATTATCATATTCATCATATCTTTCTGAAGTCTCACTGTACATTCTGCACAATGTACATAGTTCATAAAATCATAACAATATTGAGTTCAGCTAGGAAAAATGGAGGCCATTTTGAATTAAACAGCCATATCAAAAATTCCATCCTGAGCAGACATCATATTCCCATAAGATATCAGCCTACAATTAACCTTCTGATTTGAATCAAATTAAGTGAACTCATTATGTTAAAAAATAATTTTCATAAAAAAATGAGTTTCTTATATTCATTACTCAATACACTGAAGTGAATTGTCGTATAAATTGAATATTATTGCAAAAATGACAAAACTAAGTTTCAAGTACAATTTACTGTCAAATAGATCACAACAATGATCATTTGTCCCATGGTATAATCCAAAATGGTTGAAACCAATTGAGTACCATAAGATTTGCCTTGATAGCCATTTAACCACAAGACTGGGAATTTTTATTGTCCTACGACAGACAATACATCTCCCCTTACACCTGGAAGTTCTCATAAATGAAGTATGAAATCTGTCATCTTTTGGTATTGTATCCATAAGCACTGGTTACATCCCTAACTTTGGTTTTGTATAAAGAGTACTTATAAATATACCTAGATTAGCAGGAATGGGTGACAACTTTTTCCAACAAATAAAATTAAAAAAAATAGGTCCAAGGTACAGATTTGAGTTATGCTACAGATGGACAGACAGACGGGTGGATTGACTGACAAACAGACAGCTCCACTATCCCTCTCAAAAGTAAGAAAAGTAAACACTGACAGATAGAGGACAAAGTGTAAAATTACCTGTTCTGTTGATAGATTACCCTCTAGACTTGAAACTTTCCCCTTCAATTCTTCTATTTCCTTGTAAGACTTGGCTGTGGTCTCTGCTGATGAACTTACGAGTGTACTCTGAAAACAAACAATTTTCTTTTTTATTTAATCATCAAATTTTATTGTATTAATCATAAAAATCAGTATTATTGAAATTCTCAATAATTCCCCCCTAATATACTATGATGTAATATTATTTTGAATGTATATCATTTAAAAAATAAAAAAGTTGTATGCAATGTATAATAGCAGGATGGTATTCACTGCATATTTGCGAAGTGATTATTTGATGTTTCAGACCATAATTTATCTTACCTTTTCAGTTTCATATGATCTCTTGGTTTCCTCAAGTTGGGATTTAACAGAGTTTAACTGCTCCCCCTTAGTTGACAAATCAGCTTTCACCTCTTCAAGACTCTTGCTTAATTCAGTATTTGTTCCTTCTAACTTCGTTTTGCATTCTTCAAGTGATTTTATCTACAAATAATGTTGATACAGTGATTCCTCAAAATACTGGTATAATTTCTCACTGGATAGATTTATTGATGTTATTATTGTGCCGTACATTTTTTGTTGAAATATTTATCATACAAGTAAATATTTCCCTCCAAAATAGAACGCAATTAGTAAGGACACAAATGTCATACTCTACCTCGTAACCTTACAAATTCAAGAAAATTCTGGTGTCTAAGTTTGTAATTTATAAATGACAAGATAACTGAGACCGACAGAGCATATACAATTCAAAATTAATGTAGATTATAACTGTTACAATTCACGCGATTACCACACCTCTTGCTGGAGTTTTTCTTCTTCTTGTTTGTGGTTCGCTGCAGATTTTTCCAGTGAATCTTTCAGACTCTGGATTTCTGTAGAAGATTCCAGTTGCACCTAAAACATACACAATTCATCAAAATCACAAGATTTCGAAATCGCAATGTCACTGGCTCACAAGATCAAACATTTACATGACAGAATGTCACCACCATTTTTAGCTATCACAAATTGTTACAGAAGCGTAACACTTTGTCACAGATGCCAACAACCTAACACAGACCAAATATGGTGGCTATAATGTTTTGCGACCATTTTTGCATCACTTATTTTAAAAAGAACTCATATGTTATCAAAATATGAATGAAATGAATTATAATACATAAGATTTACATCTTATCAATCATACATTATTATCTTATGACTGAGTAAAACATTTTACAATGTTTATTTTATTTCCATGTGACTCAGAGTAAAAATTAAGCTTTTAGTTACTAATACATTTATAAAGTGTCAAGAGTTAGCATGAATGTAATTTTAAGTTTTAGAGAATAAATATTTTTCGATGAAAAAAATCATGCTGTTGCTCATTCCAAATTTAGAATTACAAAATGTAACATTACATGTATAATCATCTAGTTCCAAGTTATAAGTTTTATGAGGAAGAAATTACAAAATTCTAATTTTACCTTATCAAGTTTCTGTTTGATCTCTGCTATCTCCTTAGTTTTCTGTTCAATGGAATCTTTTGTGGACTTTATTTCGCTTTCATTACTTGTCTTGGCCAATTCAAGAAGTCTTATATCTTCAAGCTGAGCAAACAAATACACATATCAACAGTCAGATTTTACATAACAAAATTATGTTAAATAGAGTAAAATTTGTCTAATCCGAACAACACTGGGTCAGGCAAAAAGTTCCAGATTAGCAGGTGTTCACATTTCAAGGTTTTTCAATGGGAGATAACAAAATCTGGACTGAGAATGATTGTTCTCATTTAGGGATGTTCACATTAGAGAGTGCAATCACATTGTTATATTTCTTTACCATCTAATTTTTATTTACCAGGAGGTCATCGGCAGAAACTTCATAGAGTTACGGATTGGTAAATCATTGTTGTAACCATGGTTATAATGACATCCTTTATTAAGTTTCTGTTAATGGCCCCCAGAATAGAAAATGATGAGGAGAGTAATTTTAAATGAATACAACATGACAAATGGTTCACTCATGGTTATATACAAATTCTTATACACTGTATATGATGAGTGAATGATTGTTAGATTTTGTCTCACTGATACTGGCTGATTATAAAATGGACAACTTTAATTGTCATGCATGAAATTGACAAATTGTATTGTTCTTACAACATCTATAAATCAGTCTGTTCAGCTATAACTAGTTAATTATCAATTTTGTGAATGAGATCCATCATGCCCAATTATACAACAATATAAACCTTAAGTAACGCTATACATGTGCTAACATGTGCTTGGGGTATCTCCTCATCATATCTGCTTCAGTTTAATCCACGAAAGCAGGAGGAGTGAGACTGCTGATGAAGCATATCAGTAGCCAGTGCTGTTGGAGCATCTATGATGTTTTTTTATTCATCTAGAATTTATTAATATGCATACCTTTGCCTTTATTTCTTTATTCTGTTGCTCCTTGTTTTCTTTCAACTGTTTAACATCTGACTTTAGCTCTGTTAAATCACTCTCTAGACTCGCACACTTTGACTTGGCATTCTCTAATTCTATGTTGGCCTACAAATAAGCAAACATTTTGCACTTCAAAATATAACTTAAAACAAAATGCAAATATTAGATCAAAGATTAAGCACATGAGAATTCAGTCAATATTTATATATTTTGGTAATCCTGTATATCACACCTTTTCTAAGTTTGATTGCACCTCCCTATATTGCTTATCCAGTTCTGATTTGCTGACTTCAAGTTTCTCTAATGTGGAACTCTTCTCAGTGAGTTTGGCATCAAATTTTGTATTCTCTTGCTGGAGTTGGTTGGCTCTGTCAGTTTGTTCCTTCATAGTTGCTTCCATTTTTGTGCCCTGTTCTTTCTTCTCAGTTAGATCTTTAACAGTCTGTAGAAGATGTGAGAGAACATAATTTGGTTTTGGGGTTACATCTACATGATATACAGTAAAACCTGTCTGATGGAATACCTCTGTAAGGAACAACTCTCTATTTGGTACAGTTCTCAAGGAATCAGGTCCCATGGACTCGCATGTTATTTTCAATGGACTCGCATGTTATTTTCAATGGACCTTCTCTTTAAGCAACACCTGTCTACAAGGAACACTTTTGATCAGTTCTGAAAGTGTTCCATTTACACAGATTAACTGTTCTTTCAAAAAGAGTCTTGTAGGATTTCAGACAGTGATAGCTTATAGTATTTGCTGATTATGAAGACATGCTTCCAAATGACTGATCAGCCATTGTTACAGCCAACCTCATTTTGAGACAAGTAGCAAAAGTCTGTTAACCATCAGACAAAGTGCAGTATTTCATGGTTTAAGAGTTGTATTTCATGGTTTGGTGAAAACTTTCCAAAAATATGATATTTTCCCACTGGTTACAAAAGTTTTGTTTGTATTTTGACATGATGTTTTATAAATATCACATAAACCAGATAAAAAATAAAATTTTTGAAAACAATCGTGTTCAGCCCTCGGGCAGATATATTATATTTGCTTCAGGATAATCCCAATATCCTGAACCTCCTATTTATACTCACTTGCTCCAGTTGATATTTTGCTTTGCTGAGTTCATCAGATTTTTCCTCCAGTGCATTCTGTGCTGTCTTGATGTGGTTCTCTAAGTCAGCTCTTTGTGTGCTTCTAGCAGCCTCAGCTGACAGCAGAGCGTCGCCCTGTAGACAAATACAATTGTAATACATTTATATACACCCTGTACGTGTATGCGCTGAAGAATCAAGAAGGATAAGCCGCCAAGATTCACCTGGCAGATAACAATTGACTATTACTATTCATATGATTGTTTATACCTTTGTTTTCAGTTCTGCATCCAGCTGTTGAACCTTTACTTCAGTTGATTTAAGTTTATCAGTTGCCTCAGTTAATGAACCTTCTAGTTTAATCTTCATGTCTTTTTCATCATTTAGTTGAGTCTTCATCTCTTGTAGTTGTTTATGGAGTTGTTCTGTCTTCTCGTTGTTCACCTCAGCAGCTTCATTGAGTGCCTTCTCAGCATTGCTCAGTTTTTCTTGCAAAGAGGTCTGAAGTAGATGACATTTTGGTTCTTCATATTATTTGGTTATTCATATTGGTGTATGAAGTTTATGGACCAAAACAAGAGAATTCAGGGTCCAACAAAAAACAGCAAATCCCTAGAGTAGGAAATCCAACATATTTGTTTGCTGAAGTAATAGAAAGGGTAGCACTAAACAAAATCTATAAAAATATAACGATACATCTAGTGTTAAAGATCGCATCAATTTGATCTTAAATTGTACAAATGAGGATCTTGCATCGCAAGCTGTAGTAATAATTCATTCAATGTACATTGAAAGACAAACAATGCTCACAACTTCACTTATAACATAAACATGAGCAAATAATTTATCTACTTTCTTATTTATGAATTAATTCACAATTAATGTACTATTACAATTCTCTTACAAAAGAGGTGAATAAAGAATACAATACGATACAATAATACAGGTACTGTATATATTCATATGCTTTTTGGAATATCATTCTTTTTTAACTTACATTCTCCTGTTTCATTTGAGTAATAGCAGTCTCTATACCCTCTCCTGTTTCAATCTGGAAAAACACATATGCAGGATATACTCATTGTATAAGGCATGTTCTGTTTTTGATTATTAAATTACTCTGTTATGGAGGACAATGAACTATTGATTCTTAGATTCATTTATTGTAGTAAAACTGAACTTAATTAAATTGGAATCATAAATGGCATCTAATTTTTTGAAATTTTCCAAATGTTTTTTTTTTGGAATAATCAACAAAAATTTAGTGGGTACTTAGGACTTACATGGTGAATGTGCAATCAAAGCATCGCTGTTGAACAGAATTTTAGACTCAAACCAAATTATAATTTAGCAGGATTGAAAAAGGTAAGAACTGAAATTACGACTTATCAAAATGGAGACCCCTGAATAGCACAGATGATCTTTACTTACCTTGGCAATAAGTTCTGTTCTCTCAGTTTCTAATCTACTAACAGAGTCCTTAGCCATTCCTAGGCTTCCCTCCAGTTCCTTGATCTTACTGCCCCTATAGTACAAAGAGTGAAAAAATAGTGAAAAGCGTACCATTTGCATCCCTTGCACTGCAATCATGGGTGTAGCCAATGCATGAGGCTGGCGAGGCAATGGCCTCACCAAAATCTGAGAGAATTACATTTTTAGACTTTTTTAGACTGCTGAAATGAAATCTGACTGTCTGAAGGTAGTAATTTGTATTAAACTTTATTGAATGTTAGATTTGTCTCACCTCTTAACTTTTACCTCACCTAAATTGTGATTTTGGATATGCCAGTTAAAACAGTGTATATCATTGAGGCTGTCATTGCTTATGGCTGAGTTGATATAATTAATTTAACTTTCATCCCACATTTATATTCTCCTAAGGTGAGATTTAGTTTCGCAAAATCTTCAACAATAGCCTACTGACCTAGATTCTGCCTTCCTTAATTCATCTTCAAGGGAAGCACACTTCTCTCTGTATTGCACTTTCAGTTCTTCATGGCTTGATGCCTACAATTGCCAGAAAAATATGAATCATACCATCTCAAAACATTTATAATCTTACATTCAAAACATAAAATTCACTGCTGTCAGCTTTTTTTTGAAAGGCAGAATTCAGTAAAGGTGTATTTTGAACATTTTCTAACTGAATTTTTTTCTGATCTACTGACAAAATCTTGATCTCATGTGTCACTCATGTGCTCCTAGATCGTATCATCGATACATGTCATTTTCCCTACAATATAAATCAGTGTTTTGATACTTGACATGAACTGACCCAAAATGAAGTTGCATGCTATTTTAACATGCCTCACAGTACACTTTCAAAAGTTGAAAATAATTTAAATTTTCAAATCGCGTTTCTGTTCAAAAATAGCCATTTGACACTTAATCCACTTCAACATGCAGTACTAGTACAATCTTTCTTACCTCAGTTTGGAATCTTTTTTGTAGCTCTTCTAACTGTCCTTGAGTTGTCTCAAGGGAGGACTCCTTCTGTTTTATGGCACTGTTTAACTGAAATGTAATTTCAACATATGGGTCATTCATTATCACTATTTTCATAAGGGATTAATATGAAAATGTGTAACAACTGTTACAGATACTGATTGTGAATTCCATTCACAAAAATGGTGGCTATAACAATGTGTCACAACTTCATGGTGGGGACATGAAAGCTACCCTGTGTGCAGAGTCTAGTTATAAACTACCCTCTGCCTAGTATAGACTATATTGCAGTTTAGTAGCCCCGCCCCGAAGATTGGTGCCTGTGTCAGCCCGGGTAATAAATCATTCCAAATCTTCCACACTGACCCTTTCTCAACCAATCAGCGAAGTGGAAGGAATGAGTGCTGAATACGTGCTCATTAACTATGCGGTGATGAAATAGGAAATGACCATATAGAAAGTCGTCCATATTTCGACGACGATCTCTGATTGGCTCGGTGAGATCAGAGATTTATTGTAAACTGAAAGAGTGAAGACGAAGCTCTCTTTTAAGAAGTGAAGTTGAACGAATGAAAAGGGTACATGAAAGCATGTAATTGTACAATACTGCTTATAGCATTTGCATGCATTTTAGCTACCATACCAACCCAAAATGCCAAGGAAATAATGAATACTAATAAAGCTTTGACAGTGTTATGGAGCAAAATATAAACAAGACTAGTTAATTATTCGTATGCATAACAAGCTTATATTATGCTATACTGTAATGTGACTGTGTTCATCTTACCTTTTCTATGTCCAGATTCAATGTGTTGATGAGCTGTTCTTTCTCATAGAGTGATCCCTGTGCAGTCTGCTTAGACTCTCCAAGCTTCTTCTCCATACTCCCCACCAGAGTCTCCTTTTCAGCAATAACCTCTTGGACCTTAACAACAGAACAATACAGTGACAGCTGTACATCATTCTGAACAACTCTCTTATCTGAATACCTCTTGCGTGAACACTTTTTCTCTCCCAAAGGACCTTATACACCCTCCATTGGGATCTCCCCATGGGAAAAAAATAATTCATCTGATTTTTCAAAATGAGTATTCTGCTTCAATTATTACATTTATATGCACACTAGTATCTTGTTGACCTATATTCAGCACTGTATTGATGTATAGGCCACTTATTAGGGTCATAATTCAATCATGAAGTGTAGAGGCATAGATTCCAAACCAGGAAGTATTTTTGTGTCTGTCAAAATCCATTAACATCCTACGCATCCCTGCATCTTATCCAAATATGTTACTACATAATGAAATATAATAGTATAATCTTTGGTTTTACAAACTTGTATGATATTTGATAAGTGTAAAAGTTGTTTTTGGAGCATTTTTCTATAGCCATTTTGTAGGGAAAAAAATGATGAAAAAATGTACAATCTTTTAATTTTAAGTATGACCTGAATCGATTGCAAACTTCATATTTGCACATTTGATGAGATAAACCATTTGTGTCGTATTGTGAAATTATTAAGTTTGCAATCGATTCAGGTCATAGTGTATTTTTGGTATTTCTGTGATAATCAATGGAAACCAATGGCCTCTATTGGGATCTGCTGATATCCTCATGTTAAGTCAATGGTGCACAGCCCCATGTAAGTCAATACAACCTTAATGAAATGATCCCTATCTCAGCTTATGTGTGTCCAAGCACTTTAATATTTTCCAAAGTATTATATGACATTTTATTCTTCATGTTACACCTACGAATGATTCATTTTGACCATAGGGATATTTGCCAATAATTGCACCTTGTCCTTTGTTATCTGAAATTGACTCTCATATTCAAGAAACCTTGAAAAATGTGAACACCTGTTAATCTGAACACTTTTGACCAATGGAATTTAAGATAAGATTCATATCACTGCTCTATTGGGATTTTAACATAGGAAGTTCAAAATAATGTAAATCTTATGACTGATTCTTAAGGTAAAGAAATGAAGCAACCACCACAGATATCTTGATGTGCCTTTCATATCATGAATGAATAAATTGCATACAGTAACAATTAAAACCCCAAAAGTTGAATATGTATTGATACAAGAAAGCTGGTCATCAACTATTAAACTTTAAGTATGTTATCAAAACATAATGATTGTAATTAAATAGATTTTTGGAACACATGGACTTTCAAGAGATTTCATGTACACCATGTGAGCCAAAAATAAATTACCTTGTGATACAAAATTATAATATCACTTACTTTAGCCAGTTCACCCTTTACTTGATCAATATTGGCATCTTTTTCTTTGACAACTTGTTCAAGGCTTGTTATAGTGACAATCTTTTCCTCTAGTTCCCCAGTCTTTTTATCAGAATCCTTTTTAATGTTTTCCAATTCCAACTTGACACTTTCAATTTCTCTCAATTTGTCTTTATTGTCGAGAGTCTGTTTATCAAGTTCGTTGATTTTATTTTTTAACTCTGTTTGTTTATTTTCTAAGTCTTTCTGAAGTTTTCCTATTTCTAGAGATTTATCCTGGAGTTGCTCCACCATTTCTTTATTTTCTCTCTCAACCTAAAATGCCAAAACAATCAAGAAGTTCAATGTCACCATTGGGATGCAATTACAAAATATGTAACCAATTGTAACAGACATCAACAACAAATGACATCAACAACAAATGAATGCCAGTCCATCTTTGTTGTTACCAACATTGCACAATATGTACATCTGCATGCTCAATTTTTCATTTTGATTACAATTAATTGATTATGTGTTATCATGATTATTTTATCACATAACACATTAAATTAAATGCTAGCTATTCAACGAATGATAAACCTTGTTGGTTTGTAAGTGTGAAAAAATGCTATGAGTTTAAGCTATAAGTACCGTCTTAGGAGACGATGTACAAGGCATATTCTCCATGGGATATGATTCTGCCTCATTTCTTACTGAACAAGAATAATAAAAATAGTATGATATCGTAACTTTCAGATTTCATCAAGACTCCAAAATATTGATAATGGGCCTACATAACAAAACATTCCAGAATAAAAGCACTAACTTTTTCAGATTGTGACTTGAGGTTAATATTCTCCTGAGTAAGAGTCGCAATCTTAGTGTCTCGATCTTGTATAGAGTGCGCTAGTTGTTCAGAACCAGACGACTTCTCCGACAGCTCAGATTGTAAACTAAAACAATTCAAATAAAATTCATGCAAAAATAAACAGGAAACTAAACTAGAATGATCCTAGTAGTAGACTGAATTTGAGGAAAAATTTAAAAAGTTTCCTTAAAACTAATAACAACAAATTGCATGGATAATGCTATAACAGTTTCTGATTGTTTTTTTCATTATATGATTGGTTTCAAACGTCTTTTTGAAAAACATAACATCACAAACAGCTTCATAGGACCAATTCTAGACAGAACAATGAAACAATGCATTATTGTAATATTTATCATTAGCCCATACCTCTGTAGTTGCTCTGCTTTGGGTCTTGTAGCTAGCTCAGCTTTAAGTTCTCTCACACTTGCCTCAGATCTAGAATATGTGAAGATAATGTCACTCAAAGTTATTTTAAGTACATATTGTTTCACCCTCAGCAGTTTTAGAAGTTAGCCATGTTTGGGCGTGCATATGTCTCCCTCGATGGCCAGATCTTGGGATGAGACACAAAATTCTATCAGAACTTCAGAAGCCAATTTCTTATGATATGTATGCATAAGTACAAAAGGGACAGGACCAAATATTGTAACAGAACCAGGAAAATGAAAGCATCTAAATGTACACCAGTAATAAGGAAAATATACCCCAACTATGCCAAAGTATTATCAAATGTGAAAAGAAACAATGTCGAATATCAACTTCTCAGGCCCAAGTATACCCATTTCTAATCATACAGGAATAATGACCTTTACTGTTGTAAAATTCATTGGATACTGTCCTCAGTGACCTTAGCTTGTGCCTATGAAGTGCCTTTCTCTAACGCACATGTAATCTTAGAAATACACAATAGCTCATAACAATTCAAGCAAGCCATGCAAAATTTCACCAACTGCCATTTTATACAGGCATCATAAATAAATAAATTCACAATTGATTTTTATATTTATATTAATTTATTTATTAAATAAAAAATGATTAGAATATAATAAAATAGAAGCACATCTTACTTGTCATGTTTCTCTTTCAGTTCTTTCAGTTCTATTACTAATTTTTCCTTTTCATGTTCTCCCTCTTGACTACTCTTATCCATGAGTGTCTGGACCTACAACAGTACAGGTGTAGTCATAAAATGTAGAGTTTTCTATAAATAATGTGGAAGCAAAATTCTAAGAAAAGCATAAGTCATACATTCTCGTTATAAAATGTAGTAATTACAATTAGTGTGGGAGCAAAATCCCAAGAAAAGTAAGAAGACTGATTTTTCCCGTCCACAACCAGACCACCATTACATGTATCTCTAGGACAGTATAAAGAATGTAATCAAAATTATTTTCTTGCGAATTGCACTTAAACCTTACCTGAACTAATTCTTCTTTAAGAACTTTGACGTCATCTTCTGATGGCCTTTGGGACAACTGTGTCTCTAGACCATTAATTAGGTTGGATTTCTCAACAAGTTGTTGCTTAAATAAATAGAGGGCAATGTAAATAAACAGACAGCAAGGGTTGATTCTTAATCTACACTAGAGCTGAAAATATGTTTTGCCTGCAGTTTTCATTAACCAAATAGTTGGAGTCAGAAAGCATGACAAATCAAAATCTATCCAGAATGTCAAAGACCATTAGAATATTTTGATACCTCGAAGGAGATACTTAAGAAACATTTGGGTACCTTCAAAGTTTGTATGTGGTCTTCTAATGCCACCTTTTGGCTTTCTGCTTCATCCGCCCGTGACTTTGACGATACTATATCAGCTGCCTGTGGTTAACGAATAAGAAGATATTCACATAATTCACAAATTAAATGGATTAAAATGATTTTGCAATTTTTTCAATTGTTTGGGATTTCTTTTTTCATTTTCATGTTGCATAATGACCAGGAATGTATGTAGTTGAAATTTACAAATATTTTGTAAGGTTCACTCTCTGGTATGTGGCTTGACTCGAATTAAGTCAAATTAAGTCTGAGGACCTTTGTGTACAAATGAATGCTACAAATTTTTTGTGAAAGTCAATACCTCCCTTGTGTACAAGACTTGTAATAAAATTCTCCAAAAGTGAACAAGTTTAAGCTAAACTTTATATTAATGAATTTAATTCCTAATATATAGGGTAGGCAAAAAATGGGACAATTTGTATTATTCTTAGAAGTACTTAGGATTACACAGATAAAATATGCTATTTGAGGTAATTAGTCACAAGTCTTGCTTATAGAAAAAATAATGAAAAAAGGAAATGTTCAAACTTTATACTCCCTAATTTACAGGACATTTGGTTCACATATATCTGCTCTTTTAAATAGAATATATGTGAGTGTCCCATTTTTATTTGCACATCCTGTACATTTCAATAAGATTCCTCACCAGTTGTCCAGCCTTCAGTTCAATCTTCTCCTTGTTAACTTTGAATTCAGCCAGTTGATCTGTGGCTTCCTTCAACTGTTGCTGTAGCAGTATACATTCAGAGGCCACTGGAAAAATATGAAACTTTTTGCATTTTTCATATAACCTCAAAGTTTCCAAACAAATGTACTCTATGATTTAGTAATTTAGCATGAATTCAGTTAATACAACTAGAGTGGGAATAGTTGGTAATAACTTGAAGATTTATTTGTGATTTCTCTTGCATTCAACTATACCATCAAAGAGGTACTCCCTAAACTTAAGTTTTCAATTATTTTAAATTACAATAAGTGATAAGGAGTAAATACTAGTATGTCAACTCACATAATGTCCTGCTTTCCTCTGATGCTCTAAGTTGGTGTTTGTGCATCTCAAACTCTGCCTTGTCCTGAAATAAAATATATTCAAAATTAAAAAAAATATTCAAACCTGTGAACTTCTCAAAATGACACAAGTATAGTTGAGTTGAAATTGGTAATTTTCAATGACCAAAATCATGCTGAAAACAATGGATAGCACAAGTTTTCCCTATGGGAAAATAACATGGGATATGTGGTTTTTACCTTTATCGCATTTCAATACACATCCCCTTTTCAGAAATTATCAATATAGTGTAGAAGAAACTTTTGATATATTTAAATTGAGAAAAATAAGATCCTCTTTTTAGAAAATAAGCCTTACATTTTTAAAAAAGTGACAAGGTAATCCATAATTTTTCAGAGAGTTGGATCGATATTTTACTATCATGGGGACCTCACTTTAAAGAAAACATATTGTTTTAATAAAAACCACTGTATTTATACCCAGGAGGTACTTATGTTGAAAGATATGACTGTCTAAAATCATTTGCCATACTGCACATGGACCTTTCTTAAGAAAAATGCAATCATAAGATCAAAGTAAATTGTAAATAGTAATCAAGAGCTTTGAAAATCAAGTTTTATATTTTTCTACCAAGTAACACCATCCTTTCAGTGTGACTTGGTGTGGATTTTGGCTTGTAGAGAGCAAAGGGATTCAATTCAATTTGCATACCATCTCACACCAGTGGTATGGTGTGGCTCAGTGTTAGACAGCAGGGGTTTAATCTCTTAATCCTTTCACACCAAGTCACACCAGGTTTGTGGTGTGACTTGATGTTAGTTGGTAGTAAAATTATTTTTCATACCAAGAAACACCAGAAATGTCCCATTCACACCATATCCTGATTACTAGTGAGTGTGACATATGTTACTTGTACACTGTACTTGAGTTCACAAAAAGGCTGAAATCATGTAAGAGTATGTAAGATGTAACCTGTAAGGTGTTACTTCTTGAGTATAAAAATGTTACCTGTTGAGTGTCAAAATGTTACCTGTTGAGTGTAAAGATGTTACATGTTGAGTGTAAAAATGTTACCTGTTGAGTGCAAAAATGTCACCTGTTGAGTGTAAAAATGTTATCTGTTGAGTGTCAAAATGTCACCTGTTGAGTGTAAAAATGTTATCTGTTGAGTGTCAAAATGTTACCTGTTGAGTGTAAAAATGTTACCAGTCAAGTGTCAAAATGTTACCTCTGAGGTGTGTCAAAATGTTACCTGTAAAGGAGTTTCACTGCCAACAGCCTTGGTGAGTTTGTCTACCTCCTTCTTCAGTTCAAGAGAGTACCACTTCTCCTCTTGTAGAGACTTCTTGAGGTCATCTATTTCTTGTCTTAGCATCAACACATCCCCTCCTCTGCAGCATTTAAGAAACAACAAAAGATAGAGATCAGTTGAATGTACCTTTTTTGGAAATTGACAATTATTTTGCTTTTGACATCAGCCAAAACATTATTATTTACATTCCAAGAGTTCTGACTTTATTTCATGAAAATCCCTTGATGCTTTAGGTTATTAAAGGATGAAATAAGAACTAGGTAACAGCAAAGGCCAAAGATAATGTTTCATTCCTGCATGTACTAACACATAAAATATCAACAAAATCACTCCATTTCTTTTCAAGCTTTCAAGATGAAACAATTATAATAAAAAAAAACAGCCTTCATTTTTAAAAATGGCTGACTTATTGAGGAAATGAAACAAATATACTGCATTCTGATTGGTTTTAGCCTATCTCTTATATGGCATGTTACCTATTCTCAGTTGATGTGTTGTGCTCTTTGTCATAATGGGCCTGGAGTTCCTCTGGAGATTGGAATGGAGCATGACATGTAGGACAAACAAACCCCTGTGGAAATAAAAGTATGTAAAAGTGTATGATGGTGTTAATGTGAAGCCTCTGTGCCACTAAATCGATGGCATTTTGTTTCTTAATCTGTGCATAGTTTTGTGTGTACAGTTTGTAAAGTGATAATCATATATTTTATTTGATGAAATAAATAAAAAGTAGCAACTTTCACAAGTTAAATGCATTCACTAAGTATGTGTTCGTTTTGCCAGTCACGACCCCATAAAATGTTGTATCCTCCAGTTAACGACATTACTCTCGACAGCAACTTAATCATAAATGTTGATATTCTGATAATCAATTTCACAATTTTCTAACAGCTTGTTTACAAAACAATTTGTGATTCCATCCCATGTTTTTTCGACACTGGTCATGACTTGCTTCCTTTGAACTTGGTGTAGTATCATCGATCAAAGAATAGATGTTGTCCTTTCAGTGCTACACCTGTGGTTTTATGACCGATAGCTAAAATATTTAACTTGGTTTGCGAGAGTGATTGCTAAACACAGATAATAATGTTACATAAGGTAACAAACAATAGAGTCATTATGTTTTATGAGGTTGTGACTGGCAAGATGAACATAGCCATAAAATATTTTAAACAAAGTTTAAACTTTAAAAGATGCTTCAAACTAGAGCTTGATAATCACAAGTTGAGAAATTTGTTTTACAATAGACTTAACACCACTTATATTACATTAACTATGTTAGCATCAATCTAATGTGAATATCTTAACACTGAATATTGCATTATGGGATGGAACCTCCTATGTTGTGACTCACCTCCTGCTGGGAAGGATCAGGTTCACTGTGTGCAATATCAAAGTGGGTTTGGAGTGCATCAGGGTTGGGGAAGGAACTCATACACATGGGACACAGAAATCCCTGCAATTACCATAAAATGTTTCAATGAAATATTTAGAATAACCGAGATGCCAGTAAGTAGTTACAAGTTACACCATTAGGTGGCTTAACTCATATGTGACTGAAAAATGGGTTCATATTTAGACATGTTCTGATTATAGATACCATGTTTAGATATACAGATTCTACAAACTTGTTTCATATCATTTTAATTATTAATCCCAGTAGAAAGCAATAATAGATATTACTGCAGTTCATTTCTAAGAGCCTTTAGTATGCAGTTGCACTCATAGATGGCATTATTGCAAGGATGGATCTTTAGCTTAAAGGGACATTCCTTCCAAGACTATATCTCTCCTGATATGGTAGCTGTTATCATATACTATCTATTTAGCAAAACACAGGGAAATGTTTTGATATGGTCAAACTGGTCAGTTAAAATTGTAGTACTCATTTCCAATAAGCTGCCATCTTTTAAGATTTCATTCATAAAGTGATGTCATCTACTCTCTCTCACCTGTTATAACCTTTTTAGTAACCAATATTGACTATATCAAAACAATTGTCCATGTTTTGCTTATCATGGAAAGTATCTATATGGCCATAGCTACCATATTAGGAGAGAGGTGGTCTGGCAAGGAATATCCTTTTAAGATGGCAATCGAGAGGATTGAAATGGGACTTCATTTAATGAGTCTTAAGCAGCTCATGGCTCTCATGAAGTACAGCTAGATTATAATGTAGAATGGAATTTAGGTGCTGATATATAAAGATAAATACAGTACTTATAATAAGTGTTCAGAATAGAGAAAAAGGGGCATAATTATATAGGTTAGGTGGAATTCAATACATGCGTTTCATTCTAGGGCAGCAGAGGTGCAATATTGAGGGTACATCTTGTACCTTTTCTTTGGAATCCTGCTTTGAAAGAGGATCAACATTTCTAGAAAGTGGATCTCCCACTGTACTGGTCTGCACGGGATTGATTTGCTGATGTTGTGCAGGTCCCCCTCTTAAAGGGTCTGAAGCAACATCCGGACTGCTGTGCACTTTTTCAAAATGAGATGTCAAAGCTTCGGGGGATGCTAGAGATTTCATACACATCGGACACAGAAATCCCTGGAAAAAATCTTCAATTCCGTATCTAAGGTTTTAAGATCCTGGCTATATAAGGTTATGTACACTGTATAAGGTTTAAAATCTAAGGTATGAAAAAGGACCTTTGGATCTGGATTTAAAAACATAACATAAATGAACATTCTCACATTCTTCCGTCTTTCACTTAGATTTCAACACCCAATCAGTATTTTACAGGTACATGTTGTTAATGGTAACAACAGGGAGTTAACGTAATGTACCTCAATTGAAGAGTTCGTCATAGTCGTTGACGGCCGCATTGGCGCAAATATGTGCAGGTCCATGCATACTCTACAGTGCTCATCATAAATAAACGAAACCTGGATTTGCCGAAGTGAGGATTTCCCATGTTAAAAAGAGAATTTTCAAGAGGCCATACATCAGTGGATGAGTGTATACAAAATATAGAATATAAAAAACTTAAGGGATGTGTATCTAGACGTTATTGGAAATTATGAAGTCTCAAATCACCATGGTCTAGAAATGGTGATATAAAATCCAGGTGTCACTTATTTATGGTGAGCACTTTAGGATCTATAGATCTAGTCCGATGTAATAAAATCGTCATCACACTCATTATACATTTCTTTTAAAATGATATGGGAAATATACCACTCAGACACATAATAATTTTAGTAACAAATTTCACTGACCTCTCCTTCCTGCTGCACTGCCCCTGCCCCGCCCCCTCCCTGGCTTGGGCTGGAATTCGGGCTTTGGGATCCCCGATTTTCTCCCCCCTGAAACAAAAATGTCGCAAATAATGATTCCATTACCAGAGAGTATATTCATGTTAAGATTAAAACTATGACAAGTTTCTAATAAACAAGGACACGTACCTTATTTCCACCTTTTCCTCCGAGCAATTTCTTGAACATTTTTATTTTTCTGGCGGCTCCAACTTCCGGTTTGAGTATCACTAAATTTCAACTAAATATGGGAATCGATACTAAGTCTAAATATAAATAACAGCAGTAATTAAAGTGGTGATGTAAAAATATTATTTCTTTCCTATAAAAATTTTATTTTTTGATTAAATTTAATATTGATTTATTCAACACAGATTTTATATTTTTCCCGAATTGTGTATTTTCGATTTTTAATAAACGAGTTTGCCATTGACCTACATGCTCCAAAATAAAAATGTACTTTCAAGAGAATTTCCCATTTCACACTGAATTTCGAGTAGCAATAGCCCTATATAAAGATGTAGAGAATAGTAAACAATTGCGAAATATGATAATGGATGGTGCAGTTGAAGCAGCATTAATAAAACCAAGCCAGGTATGGAAAAATGGAAAAATATGTGAAAGAAAAACTTTTTATATTTGCTCGTGGGTGATAATAGATATCTAATATGCTACAGCCCATTTCATTGTTTTATTTCTTCAGTAAAACCTAAAAAATAGGAAATCAAAAGATCATTGTGCAATGATATATGGAAATATATTTTCCTATTGTACATAAATGACATTTGTATATCTTGGATTGCTTCATATCCCCCTCCCACTCACACTATGTATTACTTAGAAAAAAGACTGGCTCTTATCTTGGGAAATCTAAGCCTCTACTATAATTGCTCATATCTCCGTCATTGAGTTGTGTAATGCTAACTAACCCCCTTTTATTGTTGTCCAATATCTAGTCATTTGCAACAAAACTAATTTTGCGAGTCTATTGAACAATGACTGAATATCTAGCTTGTACAGGAAATGAAAAAATTAGATCTATGTGTCTTAGTAGATCTCCCATTCGAACTGGGAAGAAAAACAAAAATTAACAATCAATTCACCTTGAGCGTCTGTTATTAGGACCTCACATCTTTGAAGGCACTCTGGTCCCGCTGAACCTAACCCCCGATCATTACTCGAGTCTCTAGCTTACAGCTAGATGTAACTTCATTGATTTCGTATACTACCCAAACTCTCATTTGTCTGCTTATTGATACATACTATGACCTGAAATAATGCATTGAATAAAACTGGCCTTTAAATTGAGCTGCGGTAAACAAATAGTGTTGAAAAACTACAAACTAAAATTTAAAGATCTTAAAATTGACAAAGAAAGGTTTTTTTCCTTCTTTCCTGAGAACAACATTTTCACTGTGCAACCTAGGGTGTGAAAGGACCAATCACATCACTAGTAAATAGACATGTTGTGAATATTATATCAATTTCTTATTTTCCAGGGTCAAAATTATCAAAGGAATTAACACTGACTGTATTGTAGACTATATCCTATAGTTCTGACATTTTTTGTTAAAATTTGGTAATTCAAATATCCATTTGGTTTAAAAAAGCCAGATCACAGAATGTCAATATCTGAACAGTTTCTCAAATTGAACTATTTTTTGTTTGTAGATTATTGACAAGACTCAGCTGTTATCTGCAGCCAATATAGCAGTGCATCTCCATTCTTGTAATAAAAAGATCACTAGGAATGTCCACTCTGAAGTCCTGTACAGCCTTTCACCTACCAAACAGGTACTTGTAAGCCGCAAAAATTTCAACAATAAAAAAGTTCCAATGCCTCAAAAATGTTAGTCCTCACATCCTAGAATCATTTATGCTCTTTGTCTGTTATCTTGTTGAGTTCATTAAACGGTATTTTTGCACATAATACAGTTTAATGTCTCTTTGTACATGAAATTTCATAGATTTGTCCCTGAATGGTGTCTCAAAAACTTGCCTCATTTCAAAATCTAACATAATGGCCAAAGGTGTACTACTTTTTATCACATCATATCCCTATTTTATTTACAGTACACAGTTGCTTCATGTTATATGGTTCGGAACTTTTGGATCAACCCTCGTACAGTACCAAAGTGCACAATGATTTCAGGGTATGGATTGGGGGTGCAGGAACTCCATCATTTTCTGTAAAAAGTCACTATGATATTAGATAACTAGAAACAATGATGTTGCCATTTCAGATTACTAACAGTTTCAAAACATTTGGTATTCAAGACAACGATTCTGAATTAGTTGCTGTGGTGATACATGAAAGAGATGTAGATATAGATGGCATATTGGCTCCAATAGATGGCACCAGAATAGACATCGATGAAATATCAAATTATACTAATGAAACTTCAATTAAAAAGGTAACCTTGAATGGCTTATTGAATATTCCTTTTCAAGACGAGGTATCATAATTATTAATTCCTTTAGGGTTAAAATCACATTCAATCTCGTAAAAACAACAAAGTTAATACATATTTATGTGTTACCCTCAAATTCAAGAGATGTTTACCTAGATTTTCCTCTGTTTATCATCTCTTTGCATAGGATACTATTGCTTCTCATAAAATGAACAATATTCTATGAATCTATCATGGTATTGTGAATTATGAACATATTTCATTCTTTCATTCTTTTTATCATCACTTTGCAAAGGATACTTGCTTCTCATAATTTACTAACATTTTTAACATTCAATCTTTCATTCTGTTTTCAGACATACAAAGTTACAGAGCCAGAGCTTCATATAGGGACACTGCTAGATGCTGTTCTTACAAGAATGGCAACTAAAAACATTATTTCATTTGATAAGAAATCCTAGCATCACATTCCACACAATTAAACTACTATTAAGTAGTAATTTGATGCAGGTTCAACGGATCATAGACTTAGACATTTATGACTATTTATGGGACTGGATACTGCGTTCATACTGTATAAGTATTTTTAATTTTCTTCTCCTTTTCCATGCATTTGAGTCTATCTGCCTCTTCCTATAATATTCGTATTCAGTAAAAAATAATAAAAATATGACTCTCAATGAAGCTATAGCGGTTATTGTGTCTTTATAGTGTGGTTATAGGTGGTGCTATTGTAGTAAAGTTCAAATTCTGGCCCACATTTTGATTCAATCCACTTGAAATGTATTCACTCTGCTGTAAAAGGGTATAATTAAAGGGTATTACTTTGCTTTGATTACAGTATAGACTAGTATACCATTAAATCATGTTGAAAATATTTAGAACTTCACTCCATGTTTTGAATAGAATGGCACAACCTTTATCATTATAGCAATTTTTCCAACCACTTATTTTTACTCCACCTAGGATAAATATTAATTCTGGAGAAATCTTATTCCCCAAGTTAAGAAATCTAACTACAGCAACCCAATACAATATTCATGGAACGTAAACAATTATTTATTTTCATACATAAATGTGGTACATGTACATATAGAAATAAAATAAAATATATCTTTAAACTACATTCAATGGAATGTATAGTTCAATTTCATAAAAATTTATATGATAGAATGAATATATTTCAAAAAGTTTTATACAGTGATTATTACATAATCAGTGATAAATTATCCAAGATCGATAAACCCAAATATATCATAAATGCAATACACACAAATATTTCACAAACATGTACACCGGGTTCAATACAGCTTTATGAAAATGGACGGAAATTAATAAAACAAATACTTCATTGCATTGCATTTATTATTACATATAGAATGGAATGTTACACAAAAAGGAGAGTGTGATCTAGAAGTATGGAATATTGAATATGAAGGGAAATATGGAATATAATGAATAATAAAATATAGAAAGGCCACAGAAAATAAGGCATTAACATGCAAATACACCTGCCATTTGTTACAGACACTGACCAATGAATGCCAAATGTCACCTGCTGAACACCTGACGCCAAACACCATCCCCAAAAAGTTGGAGATTATAACAATATGTCACCACCACTTGTGACAAAAAATTGAGGAATTTGGAATATAAAGGCCAAAATATATGGAATGTAAAAAATCACCTCTCATATCACACCCTCCCCACCTACCTAGTTATACAATAACAAATTGATTTTGTTTTGCAATATTTCTATTTATTCTTTAAATCTTTTTCAAGCAACTGAAATAGTTGCTATATGACAACTATAATTATAGCAACTATTTTCAGTTGCTTGAAAAAGATTTGAAGAATAAATCGAAATATTGCAAAACAAAATCAATTAGTTATTTTAACATAATAACAACTACTTTTAGTTATACAATGTTGATTCATTAAATATACAACTTTGATATATTAAAGGCAGACAGTAACAGTCATCAACATTTTCTATAAATATCATCCCCTGTAATAAATACTTTCTAATCTGCACTGAATCTTAAATCTATCACAGATATCACCATTTGAGAAGATATCACAGATATCACCATTTGAGAAGATATCACAGATTTTTTGCAGGATGATATTGAATATAACTATGTCTTAAAAATCTTGATGGAAGGAATACAAATGGACGGATAGACATTTAGTTTGTGACTCTTAAGGCTCATGTGAGCCAATAAAAATAACCTGCTTATAAAGTTATGACTATACACGACTATATGGAGACTGATATACAGAAAAAGTATCTTATACCTGGAAATATCAGAAAATTATATTCTGAAAAGGTTAAAGAAATTCTGAACACTGAATTAGGTGTCAGGTGATTCTCAGATACCACATTTAATTAAGTAAATGTGAGATGCATTAAAAATGAAATTGAAACTCATTTGTTTTGTACAAAGGTGTTAAAGCCATGGAATATAACAACTAATAAGATATTACAATGTACACTGTTATTACAACAGCTTGTTGCAGAGCAGTAAAATGACAACATGATTTTTATAAGATATAATGTAAATGATTAACATTAGAGCTGGCATTCTTCTTGTACACAAACCAAATTACCTCAATATTTGGTGTTAATGTAATATGTTAACACTTCTTATAAATATGCAGAGTTCATTGCACTATTACAGGTATACATATATTTCATTGGACCCAATTTTTCAGGTTTTGAAAATCAGTAACATTTAAAATTCACTAATCTATTGTAAAATTCACTAATCTATTGTAGTCAGGAATATTTAGGTGAAAATATTTCAAAATTATATAGAAGCAATTTTAAGGTGGATTTCAAAACTTTATACCATTCTTTTGAAAACCTGAAGTGGCACCAAGCAATCCATTGACTTTTTCACCAAAAATCCAAGATGGCCGCCATGATGTATCGAAAAATTATAAAAATTGACTAAAGTTGTAATTTAATAAGTCAAAATAGTTGTATACTGATCAAACATGACTAATACTAGTACCTATTAGATGTTCATATGCAGTTAAAGTCACTGGATCATTTTTGTATGAAAACTGGAGTCCCACAAGGCTCAATTTTATGTCCGCTACTTTTTTTGTCTAATGACTTGCATTGACCATGGCATTTGTACATAGCAGTGGATACTTATCCATTTTTGAAATGTAAGCACCCAGGACAACATTTCACCTTGCAACCATACTTGACCAATGATTGGCATGCCTTGGCTGCTTGAAGAAGGGATGTCAATAGTGGCACCAGTAGAGACATGTCATACTTCCAGCCCCATGTTGTGAACTCCTATACCAATTTTAGATGGAGATTGTACAGTTGCCCTCAAACAATACCACCTTGGTTAGCAAGTTCTTAAGATTTTCTGAGCAAGGCTTCCTTTTGTTGGTGGTATTCTGTCAATGACTGTATGGCCGTCACAGAACATTAGCCTTCGTGCTGCATTGATATCTATCTGGTTGCTGGTTCGATCGTAAAATAGAATAGTAAAACAGTCTAGGGACTGAATGGTCTGAATTTACAAAACCAGGTTTGTTGTAAGCATTTGTGCCACTCTTTTGTAGAAAAGCTGGAGTAACTTCCTTGAACACATTTCATAGCTTGAAGGCAGATCCTTTGCTATGGCCAAAGAATGATGCAGTTAATATAATTTAATATCTGTAATTTTTGAGAGGTTCAAAGGCAATCCAGATTGACACTTATTGGGCCCTAATTATTATTATTATATCTTGGTTACCGCCATATTTGGCGACTAATATTTTACACTCGAAGACAGAGCCAGAAACCCCTCCTTGGAGGAGCCCTGTGTTCTTTTGTGTGCACAGGTACACAGACATACAGGTACACACCACAGCCTTTTATACAAGTCGTGAACCACTCAGTCAAACACCCAGAATTACATGACGCACAAACAAACTTGTCTGAACCGGCAATCGAACCCGGGGCCAAGCGAAATTGGTAACCTTGACTCTGCCACTGAGCCATAGCGGGTGGACTAATGCTGCAGCCATGGCAAGAACAACTACATCAGTATCTCCACTTCTGATTATGAAGTCTTTTTTCCCTCTGAGGTCATCTGTTTTACATGAACAAAGAGTCTAGTGTCAACTTCTTCATGAGTACAAGGTTCAATCATTGCTGTATCTGGCAAGTGAGGAAAGCACTGAACAGATTCCACAATAGTTGTTATCATTTGCTTGTCATTTACATCAACCTCAAAAATAGAGTTGGCCAGGAATGCTAACAGCTCAGTCTTGTTCTGGCCATTTCTTAGAAAGCCTAGCCAATTCTTGGGCATCGGATTCTCTGCATAAACCATCCAGTGCCACGATGAATCCTTGTCAGGGACTTCTCACTGTTTTGTTGGTAGACATCCCAGATAGCATCTAATCTTGAAACACCTTCCATAAGCTGCCTTAACTTGGGATGAGACATTGGTAGCATATTCTTGGAAGTTGGTAGCCACACCAGGACGCATCACATAGACCAGAAGGGTGCCATCTATTAAAATTGCATCTGCAGGTTTTTTCCAATACTTCAGATCCATCTGGCTTAGCTTCTCAACATTTAAGTAAGTCTGCTTCTTTGTAGGTCTCATGGCTCCGTGCTTAGCTAAGGATGGCGGGAACTCATGTTTTTCATGTTTGAAAAACTCAGACATGTCAACGTGTCTTGATTGGCATCCCATCACAGAGCCTTGTGACCTACGACAGACTTACTTAAATGTCAAGAAACTGGTCCTTTCATCCCAAGTTAAGGTAGCTTATGGAAGGTGTTCCTAGATGTTGTCTGGAATGTTTACCTACAAAACAGTGAGAAGTCCCTAACAAGGATTCATCGTGGCACTGGTGCTAGAGGGATAGTTTATGCAGAGAATGCGATGCCTAAGAATTGCCCAGCTTTTCTAACAATCAACGGAACAAGACTAGGCTGTTTGCATTCCTGGCCAACTCTATGTCTGAGTTTGATGTTAATGACAAGCAAATGATAACTTCTATTGGAGAATCTATTCAGTGCTTTCCTCAATTGCCAGATACAGCAATGACTGGACCTTATACTCATGGAGAAACTGACACGAGACTCTTTGTTCATATAAAACATGACCTCAGAGGGTAAAAGACTTCACAATCAGAAGTTGAGATACTGATGTAGTTGCTCTTGCCATGGCTGCAGCATTTAAGGGCGCAATAAGTGTCAATCTGGATTGCCTTCGGACCTCTCAAAAATTACAGGTATTAAATTATATTATATTAGCTTCACCATTCTTTGGCCATAGCAAAAAATCTGCCTTCAAGCTATGGAATGTGCTCATTGAAGTTACTCCAGCTTTTTTACAAGTGGTACAAATGGTTACAACAAACCTTGCTTTGTCAGTTCAGGCCACTCAGTCCCTAGGACACCTTACTGTGTTCTATTATATGATCGAACCAGCAACCAGATAGATATCAATACAGCACGAATGTTCTGTGATGGCCATATACGAGGGGTGATCAGGAATTTCTGGACCGTTAGCACTATTTTGACCATTTTTTATCCTTTCTTACTGATTTTTTCACATAATATAAACCAAATATATAGGATCACATCATGAAGATTTCATTGTTCTATGACATCATTATCCTATTATTTTTGTTATTTTTTTACCATGGTATCTGGTGGCGCAACAAGGTGGAGCTCAGAAAAAATACCAAATGAAAAACAACAGTAATTTTATATGATGTTTGGACACTGTATTCATTGCTGAATATGTGACATACTGAATAGGTTGTGTTATTTCATTGAGTATATTCATTAATGTTCGTCTATTAGTAACTGTCATTATTCTTCTATCAATTCTAATCATTCAAAGTAGTTACCAGTACTTTGTAAGCATTTGTTATGCCTTTTCACCCAGTCCTGAAAGATACAGACCGTCTTTGCCTACTTTGTACGTTGGTGTGTGAATTTCTGAATGATCTCATTACTGTCCTCAAAGTGGATACCTCATAATTTGGTCTTCACTGTTGGGAAAAGATAGAAATCATAACCAGCTAAGTCTGGGGAATACGTGGTGGTACACGGCCACAACCGATGGAAACAATTACATTTTGTCGGCAAAGACGGTCTGTACCACGTCTTTCAGGAATGGGTGAAAAGGGATAACAAATGCTTACAAAATGCTGGTAACTACTTTGGAGGATTAGAATTGATGGAAGAATAATGACAGTTACTATGAACATTAATGGATATACTTAAAGATATAATACAACCTATTTCAGTATGTTTGTAACATATTCAGCAATGAAAACAGTGTCAAAAAGTGGCATGTAAAACTACTGTTGATTTTTCAAATTTGGTATTTTTCTGAGCTCCACCTTGTCGCTTCACCAGTTACCATGGTAACAAGAATAAAAAGATAATGATTTCACAGAAGAATGAAATCTTCATGGTGTGATCCTATATATTTGAGTTATATTGTGTGAAAAGATCACTAAGAAAGAATAAAAAATGACAAAAATAGAGCCAACGGTCCAGAAATTCCTGATCACCCCTCGTAGTAGAATACCACCAACAATAGGAGGCCTTGCTCAGAAAATCTTAAGAACTTGCTAACCAAGGTGGTATTGTTTGAGGGCAACTGTACAATCTCCATCTAAAATTGGTATAGGAGTTCACAACATGGGGCTGGAAGTATGACATGTCTCTACTGGTGCCACTATTGACATCCCTTCCTCAAGCAGCCAAGGCATGCCAAGCATTGGTCAAGTATGGGTGCAAGGTGAAATGTGGTCCTGGGTGCACACATTACAAAAATGGATAAGTATCCACTGCTATGTGCAAATGCCATGGTCAATGCAAATCATTAGACAAAAAAAGTAGCGGACATAAAATTGAGCCTTGTGGGACTCCAGTTTTCATACAAAAATGATCCAATGAATTTAAATGCATATGAACATCTAATAGGTACTATTATTATTCATGTTTGATCAGTATACAACTATTTTGACTTATCAAATTACAACTTTATTCAATTTTTATGATTTTTCGATACATTGTGGCGGCCATCTTGGATTTTTGGTGAAAAAGTCAATGGATTGCTTGGTGCCACTTCAGGTTCTCAAAAGGATGGTATGAAGTTTTGAAATCCACCTTAAGATTGCTTCTATATATTTTTGAAATATTCTGTGAACTTATCTCCTATTCAAACCCGACTATTGGTACTTTCACTGATTTTAAAAAGTGAAAATATTTTATTTATGAAATGAGAAAATCCAGCACACTATATATTTGACCAGTTCTGGAACATGTAACTTAGTGTAATAAGCTCATCAGCATTAACCATTATGTAAAAAAACTGCAAAATAAATATTTGTACCTAAGATAAAAGTTCACGATGTCAGTTGACTTAATTACTTTGTACTATACAGCACATTTGTCAGTTTTTGGACTCTCATTCAGAGACGGTCTGACAGACTTCACCCATCGTGAGATATCACAGCCTTGTCTCAGTTTCCTTCTAGTGCATAGCAGAGATGGTCTGAGTATCAGAATGGACTTCACCAGGCAGCACCAGAACTCACGAGGCAAAATGGACCACCAGGCAAATCTGGGCCCGATTGGTGTATGGCAAGCTCATAGAATTTTAAACCCTCTCATTACCCAGTTCACATTGTCTCAGTTAGAAGTCAATACACAAAGAAATATACAGCTGTTCAAACATGTGCTTCCCAGTTGAATTACTCGAGTACTCAGGATTCTCTTTTTGCTTTAGTGACTGTTGGAGCTTTGAGTATTCTTCTAATTTCTATCATCTGCAAGAAAACATGGCGTAATATAGCTTTTACTTGTAGCTTTAGTAAGTTATTCACCAGTGAATAACAAACTGAACCTAGGGTGACATTCTAGTCTGTCAAAATATTGCCTTGTACTTGTTCTGCCAGTAAGAAAACTGACTGAGATGTATATATATAGATATATTATATAGTACTAATATAATCATGTATCATTATATGTAATTAGTTGAACCATAATGTCACTATTAATATGAAGTAATATTGCAAGGAAACATGATTCACATGTTCTCATGTCACAATATCAAACAATCCCTCCTGCAACATGAAATGAAATTATTTTTCTGTAGACTCCACAGAAGTCATGTATAAATGCGCCGAATTCCCAATGATTTGACATTGATGAAATTTTGTTTACATGGGCATTCAACATGGGTATTCATGGGTATTCAACAGGCTTATACGTGTATGTAGGAAAGTGAGTGTTAGATAAGAGTAACTAGACAAGCTGAGCTTTAAAATAAACATCTTGGGAAATTTGCATTCACAAGGAGAGATAAAATAGATTCTGAAGCTTATCTTTGAATGAATCAAAATAAATACAACATTTAGAGAGTAGATGAAGTCTATTTCTTGCAAAGGGTTATTTAGAACTCTTACCTCTTCACTTGGATCAGCCTCATCAACAATTCTTTCAATTTTCAACTGAAATAAAAAGAACAGCAAGAACAAAATTAACTGAGGAAATGTCAAGAGTTTCCCAATTGCCTTATGTGTTAAAAAACAATGCCTTTTACTGCTAAATTGCTAGTGAGCTACTGCTATTGCAAATTTTTCTAAAGCTTTTCACATGTGAAATATAAAGTTAAATAAGTGAGTAAACTCTTTCAAAAGATCCTGTTTCCCTATCACAGACAGCAAGAACAAAACATTTCCTTATAATTGTGAGAATACTTACACATTTGAGTTTCAAATGGAAACATTAAGTTTTAATGCCAGAGGCGTTTATAATTATGTCTTGCCAAAATTTGGCGAGACAAAAATTAATAGGCGAGGTAAATTTAGGCTAAATGATGCATATCCTATATTTGAAGTTTTTCCACAGTTTTCATTGAAATAAATGCCTGAAAATGTATATAAATTTGGCCACATCCACAGTTACAAGATGGTTTTCAATGTGTCTATAAGTACATTGTATACATACAAATGTCCTTTTATAATCCACCTTATTAAAAGACAACCCCTTAGAATTATATTGAAGCATCACACTTACTAATTTCCTTTCAAGAGCATCAGCTTTCTCTCTGAAGAAGTCAATCTTCGACTCGAGTTCGCTTCGTTCATTACTTGCCTGAAATATAAGACATACTCAATAATTGGATGGAGATATTGGATAACAAGATATTATTATGAAGTAAATTAAGAACTTTATGGAGATGAATTAACAATGTGATGATAGCTTGTAATGACACAAGGGTACCTCTGGGATATTATCAACTGCCGAACATGGTGTTTACGCCCTTTGACTCAGGATAGAATCAGACTTTGAACCCTAGGGTTCTGCATTGAATTTATCACACTCTCTATCATGTCTGTACTCTGTATCTGGTTTAAATGTTACACTATCCTTGGCAAAATCCTTCAGCAGAAACACACAAAGTGTAAGTTACATACCAGACTGAGGTTACTGCTATTTAATGTTCCTCTGGAAGAGTCAAGTGACAATCTAGTCTTTGGGTTCTTCTTGGATGTTTGTTTACTTCTTTGTATGCCTCGCACTTCTATAGTTAATGTGGATTCTTCTAAATATTTCACTAGCTACAATTCATAGTTGTAAATATCAAAATAAATAGTTTATATGTAAACGTAAATATGTATATACAGAATAGGATGTCTCAAAAAATGTACCCAAAAGTATTTCAACAGCATAGACAAACCAATTATTTTCAGACATTTTTTTGCATGGTCTTGTAGTCAAAACATGTACCGTAGTTTTTTCCCCTTGTCACCCTTTACCTTTTACACCACATAATCAATGTAACATCATATTTCGATGATAACCTGCATCCTTAGTACTACATTGTTCATCACATTTGATATTTCTGGTGGAATGTTTTGATTTCTGTTCAGATGCTGGTCTTAAGTTGTTCTAGGTCTCTTAGCTTGGGTTTAGCATAAAAATAAAAAAAATGTGTTGAATAAATAATTCTATAAATTAATTTTCCAGTTCTGTACATACCTGGTGAGTAACCTGATCTTTTCCAAGCTTATAAAGTTTCTCATGGTTGTATTTATGTGTTGCAGAACTAGCCTCAACGTGGTCAGTCTCCACCATATCAGCATAATCGTAGAATCTATAGCAGCACCAAGACTATAAATACAAACATTTTTTCAAAACTATTTTCAATTAAATAATGATAAATCATAACCTGATGGAGCACCAGGACTTTAAATTCAAGAACGCATAGAATCTATAATGACACTGCAGGCTCGTAGCCAGAATTTTCCAAGGGGGATTCACTTTTCCAAAAATCTCGGGGGGTTCACTTTGGCAAATTTGGCCAAAAATCACTCAAAAAAAGTCAGAATGGTGAAAACTGCATGATTTTGAAAGAACCCCCCCCCTGGCTACGGGCCTGCACTGGAACTGTAAATAGTTGTTAAATCATAATCTGATGCTTTTAACTCAATTTCTTATTTTGACTTACCCTCTCAAGGTTCTTTGGCAAATTAATTCCTTGTATGATCTTTATTTTGAAAGCCATTGTTTGTCCAATCTGAAACAATAGAATTGTGACACCTGAGTATTTTGTGACATTATTTTCATAAAAATCCTCTGGGTACTATAAAGTTAGGTCAAAGTCACCCAGGTAATATACAATGTTATACTGACCCTGAGTATTTTTAGATTTTTTCTATTAACAATGATACAATAAGAATATTAATGTGACATTATTTTCATAAATAATCCTCTGGACTATGAAGTTATGTCAAAGTCACCCAGGTATACTGTAATGTTATACTGACCCTGAGTATTTTTGGATTTTTTCTATTAACAATGTTACAATAAGAATATTAATGTGACATTATTTTCATAAAAAATCCTCTGGACTATGAAGTTATGTCAAAGTCACCCAGGTATACTGTAATGTTATACTGACCCTGAGTATTTTTGGATTTTTTCTATTAACAATGTTACAATAAGAATATTAATGTGACATTATTTTCATAAAAAATCCTCTGGACTGTGAAGATATGTCAAAGTCACCCAGGTATACTGTAATGTTATACCCTTGAGAAAAAACAATATCACCAAGTCTAATGGCTACATATACTGAATATTGATGGTTATTATTTCAAATTACCAGTAATGAGTTATAAAAAGGAATAGTTTTACAAATTATAAAAAGCCATAAAAATGCAGGACAAAGGATCGATTTGCATTATCAGGTATCATTATAAAAAGCTGTGGTAGATATAGGTAAAAAAAAGACAAAATCAATTTAGAATTTAACCACTTTGTGTGCCGCATAAGGAACATAACTGTTTATAATCTGGAGATATGGCAATATCTAGAGTTGATTAAAAATGGGAAGTATGTTGACAAAGGATAGGTATCGATATGGAGAACTGAATTAAACAATGTTTTTCTCTTAAGCCAATCACTGAAAACATTCTGTAAAAAAACATGGTATTTTATGTAATGTTGACTGATTGACAACAATTTAATGAGAAAATTATTTTGAACTGTTTTTGTTAACATTTTTTGTTTTTTTAGTGCATATTGTTTTTGCTCCTTTCTACCAAAACTGACCCTGAGTATTTTTAGATTTTTTCTATTAACAATGATACAATAAGAATATTAATGTGACATTATTTTCATAAATAATCCTCTGGACTATGAAGTTATGTCAAAGTCACCCAGGTATACTGTAATGTTATACTGACCCTGAGTATTTTTGGATTTTTTCTATTAACAATGTTACAATAAGAATATTAATGTGACATTATTTTCATAAAAAATCCTCTGGACTATGAAGTTATGTCAAAGTCACCCAGGTATACTGTAATGTTATACTGACCCTGAGTATTTTTGGATTTTTTCTATTAACAATGTTACAATAAGAATATTAATGTGACATTATTTTCATAAAAAATCCTCTGGACTGTGAAGATATGTCAAAGTCACCCAGGTATACTGTAATGTTATACCCTTGAGAAAAAACAATATCACCAAGTCTAATGGCTACATATACTGAATATTGATGGTTATTATTTCAAATTACCAGTAATGAGTTATAAAAAGGAATAGTTTTACAAATTATAAAAAGCCATAAAAATGCAGGACAAAGGATCGATTTGCATTATCAGGTATCATTATAAAAAGCTGTGGTAGATATAGGTAAAAAAAGACAAAATCAATTTAGAATTTAACCACTTTGTGTGCCGCATAAGGAACATAACTGTTTATAATCTGGAGATATGGCAATATCTAGAGTTGATTAAAAATGGGAAGTATGTTGACAAAGGATAGGTATCGATATGGAGAACTGAATTAAACAATGTTTTTCTCTTAAGCCAATCACTGAAAACATTCTGTAAAAAAACATGGTATTTTATGTAATGTTGACTGATTGACAACAATTTAATGAGAAAATTATTTTGAACTGTTTTTGTTAACATTTTTTGTTTTTTTAGTGCATATTGTTTTTGCTCCTTTCTACCAATTTTTGAGAATGAAATAAAATGTCTTTCCGAACCTTGTTGGAACAAAATAGCATATACAACATATTTTTAGACCTCTCATTATTAAAGTTATACAAAGGAATTTTTGGTTGATTTTAAAAAAGTATTCAAAATATTAAACCAAAATCCCCCCAAAATAGATAAAAATCAAGAAAAACCTTTTATTTCATTATAAAGATACTTTTTTAAAATCAACCAAAATTTATTTTGTACAATTACAATATTATGATACCAAGAACAAAGTGTTTGATGTGTTTTTTAAAACAATATAGATGAAAGTATGTATATCTATTTTAAATTATATTGCTACCATTCAAAAGATGGCCATTAAATTGACAATTTGTAAGATTTTGTAAGATGTCTGGTTTAAGAGAAACGTGTGTTCAAAAAGTTCGCCATATCGATACCCATTCTTTTGAGAATCAATCCATGTTGTTAGTGCAAGTTTTAATTATTAGTTTCATCAGTTTCTGTTCATGTTTCTATTATATTTACATATGTAGTATTACTGATGAGGCAGATGACACGCTTGCCTCATCAGATCCTCTATCAATGAAGTTGCAAATTAATTGTATTTAGCATTTCTTTTCAAGCTGAAGTCATTTTTTTATTTATTTTTTATTATGCATGATCTCATCACATAAGGATAACCATCATGTTCTTTGATTGCCATCATCGAACAAAGTTTGTAGTTTAATGTTGTTTTACCTTACCTTACCGCTCATATTTCTGACTGAGTTACACAGCCGCCATTTTGGATATTTTTCGCCTCGTCACTTTTTTATTCCTCAGACTACACCTCTGTACATCATATGAGATATGTAACAATGTTTGAATTAATGCACCAGATAATTGTATGCCACTATCATAAAAGATCTAATATAAAATTGAAGAAAAAATACTTACAATATCACGTGATTCTTGTACACAGAGCGAAAGATCTGTCATTTCTCGACCTTTAGAGTCACATGGTATAATCTCAACTAAAATAAAAATATATAATCCAATAAAACATACACATAAGGAATCTTTCAACAATATCAAAACAATTATATCCCTGAAATAATGTCTGAACTTTGAGACTTTTAAAAATATACATGGCAAAGATTGATAGGTGAGCTGAAGATTCTGAAACTGAGCTCCAAGTAATTTTGAAAAGGTTGCATGCTTTCTCTGATGTTCATTAACTCAGAGGAGTATTGCAAATAGTCTGATTAAAGGGGCAACAAAATCTACAGATGAATTTAAAGTAAGTTAAAAAAAATGTCACAATTAAACAGTAATTTTTGCTTTCAACATAATAGACTGGACTCCCAGTATTTTTGCAAGCAATTCAATTTTGTGCTTCTCACGATTGTGGTAAAAGTGCTATTCAAAAGATATATTTCTTTATTTGATTCTCTTACCTTTCAAAAACCCAATTTGTCTCGCAGCATAGTCTGTAATGGTCAAGGGGTCATCTCGCAAATCAACCATGTGAGCTAAATAGTTGAGAGGTACTGAGACCACCCCAACAGCAACATCTGCAGATGGTGGATCAAAGAAAGAATCTTGTTCCTGGAAAAATTAAATATTTATTAGTTAATGATTTTATGCAAAAGTGACCACCATTTTGAAAACGGCGGTAATCTTTCACAAACATCTAATTTCAAGACTGTCAAAAATATGATATTTTGAAAATTACAAAATTCTCAAATTGCTGATTTTCAAAAAGCTGATTTTTTTCAAAATGAGACGGACATAGGAGTTAGGGCCAATGGTGCAACATACCAGTATGGGCCCCTATAAAAAGAATATGAGTATTTAGATTATTTAAGATGGATGATACTTTTTGTGAATGGATGGATGGAAGAAAAACGGATGAACAGTTGGATAGATGGACAAACGAACAGACAGGAAAATGGGTGATTCTATAGGCTCACAATGTAAGCGAAAAAATCTTAAACTCACAAACCTTGTCAAAGGGAGGTGGTAAACTGTCCTCTGAATTCTCAAATTCTTCATAAAGCTCCTGCATTCCACATTGTTTATTTAGAAACTTCGCCCGATCCCATGTATACTCATTGGAAGTCTCTAGGTCTGTGACACGGACATATAGCTGAAAATGTAATAGAATGTCAATATGTGAAAATATGGCAAATGAAAAATTAGAGGTTGCAGGTAATCAGGGAATTAACAGGGTATTATATTAGTTATGGTGAACATTTTTTGTGCAATGGTTTTCAAATGGTAAATCATATTTTTCATTTCATCCTTTTTATATGATTTATGATAGGCTAGATTAAACATTCCATTCTATTTTAGGGGATACATGTTCATACGATATATAAAAACTTCACACCACCCTTTAAGTTCATATAAACTCAACTTGAAGTGTAGCTTCTTTAAGGAACTCCTTTCATTATAATATCACATTAATGACTCTTTAAATTTCAATTGTCATATGGATTTATTGAAAGTAAAATAAAAATAAATATCTATGCACTTTAAAACTTTATTTCTTTTAAAAAAAAAAAAAAAAATTCCATCAACCTAAAGAAATATATTTAATTTTGAATGGCCTTATATCAAACCCCTACCTCTGTTCTAAGAGTGTCATCTCCTCTGGCAGCTCCTGATACAAGCACAAGTTCATATTTTACTGGTCTCTCCAGGTCCTGTGCCATTGCATTGGCACCTTGCACAATATGGTGGATAGACATTACATCTTCCATGAGGATATCATCTGAAAATACAGTTTATGGGCGCAGTTCTGGTATACTTTCTGATCAAGCCTATTGAGAGGCACAGTCTTGGTATACTGATGAGGCAGTTTTGGTATACTGATGAGGCAGTTTTGGTATTCGTCTGTGTTAAATTCCAATAGGCAGGCGCGTTTCAATTATGCTGATTATACAGGGTGTCAAATAAGCCCCATCCCCTGCTACAGCTAAAACCTTAATAGATGGTACCTAATGTAATGTACCATATATCTGTAGAGGGGGAAAGGGACTTTGACACCCTGTACTAATAGTATACTTAGAGGCACAGTATTGGTATACACCTCATATGAGGTATCCGCTTCATATCAGGTATACGCCTCATTATACCTGTTTAATAGGTATTATTTTGATATATCTGCTTTACAGGTATAGCCCGTGAAGAGGTATACTATTAATATCATTTCGCTTTATTGTGATATCTTAGGTTTTTTAGGTATAGGCGTGACAAGAGGTATATACCTGGTGTACTGGTATAGTTTGTATAGTTCTTAATTTGTTGAAGGAAAGTGTTTGGTAAATATAGCAACTTCCATAGTTAAATGAGTTGTGCATTTAGTTTGAATTGCTTTGTTGTTTTCTAGCATTAGCGTGTCTCATTAATAAGATACACTTTAAAAAGATGCAACAAAAGCGGGTGCAATGCCTTCTGATGTTAGATCGATATTCATGAGTAAGAAAAAAACATACCACCATAAAGATCTAGACCAGAATGTTGTGCCATCTCACTTTGAGCAAACTCAAATGTTATGGGAGGGAGCACCTTGCCTTGTTTCTTCAGATTAATTTCCTCCTTTGGAGAGTGGAAAACAAAGAAATTGTTGGCTCCAAAACGTATCCTGAAATCAAAACATTAGTTATTATTTTCAAATTAGAAAATCTTTCCAAAATATTTCGAGAGTAGTTTTCTTGGAATAGCAATGAAAAACTTCTACATAATTTTCAGAATAGAATTCACAGTTCTTTTTCGAAGTTTTGCAGTTTGTCACATTGAACGTGATTTAGTGAAAACGCTGGTACCATTATCCCTCAAAACCTGATCCGCACCTGACATTTTATTAATGCATTAATTCCCAGAATTAAGAAGGTGAAATACATGCACTTTATATGCAACATACAAAAATATAATACCTGTCTTGGTGGATAAGCTGGATCTCACTTGAAGTATTCAGTTCAGATCCATTTCGTAGCACCTGCCCCTTATCAGGCATCAAGAAAACATCACCATCACGGTTGTATATCAAAGCATGGTCCTTGACAATACTGCAAAAAGGAAGTTTTACCAAATCTTTTCAAAAACAATTTGATGACTAGGAGGAATCACAGAAAATCAGGTGTTCAGAGAGACACACAGAAATAGAGATGCTTATAAAGTCAAAGACATAGAAAGAGTCAGATAAATCGAAGCTCAGACAATTAAGAAAGATACTAATGCTTAGGAAGTGAAACACATAAAAAGAGTCAGATGCATGAACATTGAGTTAGAGAGCACAAAAAAAAGACAGATGCCAATTCAGATACATGTAGTATCATATGCTCAGAAAGAAAGACACAAAGAAAGAGAAAAATGTATATAAACTCACCAGATGTTTAGAAGTATGAAAAGAATCAAATGTTCAGAAAGTCAGATAAACAGAAAGTGTAAATGCACAGAAAGCTTAGTGCAAAGAATGAGTCAGTCAGAGGCAAAGAAAGTTAGGCAAATAAAAAAGGACTATCAGCTTAGATGCAGAGAAAGTCAGACAGGACAGATGTGAAAAAAGTCAGACATACAGAATGAATCTGATGCAAAAACATTTTAAAGTAGCCCCTATTCATGAAAGCACAAATACTTAACAATGTTACTAGTGCAATTATGTGTTATCAACTTATTCCCCAGATTCCCCCTTTCTTATGGTATATACAAATGCTTGCAAATAGATTCATTCATTGCACCCTTCTTTGCTTTACTGTAATAGGTCCATTCAAAACTATAACAAACATATTGAGGGCCATCTTGAGCTAAGATCTTAGAACCAATCATTCTAGAATTGACCAATTATCTACATCCGTATAAACTCTAAATCATCCTGTAGTTATTGGACAATCACAAGATTTGCAACGCTTTTTCAAATATAGATTTATCAGGGGGAAGATCAAGGCCAGGTACGGCAGAATAATTGATATTAATAAAAAGGTTTGAAGCAAACGCACACACATTTCCTGTTCAGTGTCAAAATAAGACGACATACTGTGAAATACATTGCTATCGCAAAGAAGATAAGCAAACAGATAGCTATAATTCTGTTAGGGATAAGGCTACAATGTGTTTAACAATTTGATCCAATGATGCTCTAAGTGATCAATAACAACTGCTTTGTACCGTGGAGAAATTATATTGAGAGAAGCCTCTGTGTCAGGGTGAATAAAACCTCCTAGTGGATAAACAGTCTTGGAGAGCAGAGACCATAAATCCTAGATTACCCAGGTCTGGGGAGACGTTGACAATAACAGTAGTGAATGAATGGAGAGTCAGATCGGGTTTAGGTCCTACTTTTTAAACTTTTCTTATGCTTATCCCATATATAAATGTCATCAGAAACATTCATAGTACTAATTTGATATTGATATCAGAAGAAAATTATAAAACCATTGCTTCCATTCCATTATCTGTACTCTGTAGTCTAATGCTTGGGCTGGAGGCCTGTGTGTTTAATTGTTCTATTACTATAATAGCCAAAACTTTCGCTGACAAAAAAATTGCACCATTTTGTCAATCTGAATTGTTTCATGGGCATTAAATTCCACTGTTTGAAGAAATATCCAATTGAATTCAATGTTAAATCAAATTTTCACTGTGCCTTTAATTTCACGGTCTTAAAGGGTTCCGATTAGCATCCCATATAAAAACAATATGGCGGCTCCAGGTGAATCAACTGGATCAGTCCATTTTTAAGAAATAAGGGGAGTTCTGTAAAATCCAGTTTATTGAAATTGTCTTTGAGATAAAGTAATCCGTTTATAATGATTTTGAAAACATTATCCAAAGAGTGATTGCGTTCAAAGAATACATGTACAGCAGCCAATATAAATCCTTGTATTAGAGCTGCTTTGTTTCATTTGTAGGATATTTCATATGCCAAGCTGTGTGCTATTACGTTATGGGGAAATTTAGATGACAATTTTTCCTTATTATACACAAATAGAAGATCATGAAACTTCACCCATAAATGTGGAATTGATTTGTCAAAATAAAAATCACCCTTTTATAAATGTGTGACGATCTATAATATACTTATGCTATACAGTATAACAGTTAGAGGTGTTGACACAACGACCTCGAACCTGTGAACCCTTGAGTATTATTCCGGGATTGGGCCTTTTATACTAAACGGTGAGCAACACCAGAAACGAGCGTTCGATTTGCTAAAGGATATGCGTCACCCTTTAAGCCTCGACTTCAGCGTAAATAGTGAAAATTCAGGGCATCTTGAAAATTTGGGCTTTACAGTATCCCATTAATTCCTACCTGTTGTTTTTTATCATATCTTTACATTTCATGCAAAACATAAAATGTCATTGCATATTTGTGAGAGCATTTCCGCGCAAAGACCATTTTATAATGATACATCCAGGAAGACAGTGATTTTCAGATAATTTTGTCCCTTGGATAACTAGTTCTTATTTTTCTAATTATAGTTATTATAGATTTCTGAAGCAGACCTCCCATGCTTTGACATTAGCCATAATTGAGGCCACTTAATCAAGGAAAATCTGGAGGCAAAACTTGAGGAAAGGAGAACAGTCTAAAACACTTCTCCAGCTTCGCAGAGACTCCCATCATCACAAATGACGGGATGATGACCAATTATGAGTATTTCTCATTAGAATGTGATATACAATGTACATGTCCATGGGATCTATATATCGATCTAAGTTTTGCATGTCCAAATGTCAATTCCTAGTAAAAAAAATTAATATAAGTAATATATCTAAACATTATTTCATTTTTTTTCAAATTTCCGCTGTACTTAGAATTGTACTATTACTATGTATTTCTAATTACCTATCTTAGATCTCTAAATTGTCACCAAATTTTGATAGGATGCCACTAATGTCTGAGATATAATATTATTCACGAGTCTGTTAACCACTAAAAATATGAAAATTAAATGTATGTGCCTATATTTACATGGATATGAAATAAACAAACAAATATACATGTACAAGAAGTTATCACTTAAGAGGACACAAATACTCAACAAGGCATAAACATGCAAAATATTACCACCTGCCATTTGTTACTGATGCTGAACACCAAACACTGTTTCAGACACCAACCACCAGCAAAAAAAGGTTGGAGACTATAACAATATGTCACTGTTGGTGACATCAAAATAGAAATTCCTTTGTTGACTGAGCATGCTTTATATAGACATCAATTCAATTTTAAACATACTTTATTTAACCAATATTCAACGATGTTACACTAAACATAGAATACAGATTTTTTGACATGAACTTTTGAATTCTTTTGGCTTTTTTGACATGCACTTTTGAATTTGTTAACTCTCACATAATATGTAACTGATCTCTTTCATATTTGTAGAACCTATTAATGATACCCTAAGGCTACTCTATAGAACTTTTCAATGAATTTGTGTGATCAATTGCTGAGAAAACACTTCATTTTTTGGGAACACCCAATATATAACATATAACACATACTATGTACATGTACATATACAACTTCAAGTCTCAAATTAAGATTCTATAAGTATAGTCTTTGCAGATAAATTGCATTTTACTCATCAATGATCAATCATGTTAGTTTACAAATGTTGTCTGAATTGTTCCCGCAACTGCAAATTTTTTTCATATTTTTACACACTGATCAAAGGCAGTTAAAGTACACCAATAGGAATAGAGGGTCAAAATTAATGCTTTTTCAGTCTTATATATGACTGATTTAAAAAAAATATATGTATATATTCATTATCAGAAAGTATCAAACTGTTAGTGAATATATATTAATTTTAATCAAAATGCATTAATTTTCATGCGAAAAAATATTTCTTTATCTACTTGTTAGATAAATATAATATTATTAGCAAAATCAAATGTTTGATCGGAATTTTCACCCTCCATGTGGGACCTTATTTTAGAAACACTAATTATAAATAATCTTTGTGTCAGAGTGAATCTATGTGTTAGATGATGCGGGACCAACCTGATTCTGTCGCTTAATTATCCTTACCAATTCATTCCTGAATCTTTTGTTAGAGGCAGAATATAGAAAAAAGTTGATACAACAATTCGCATATATTCCAATAACAATATATACAGCAAATACTACCAAATCCACCTCTGCCTCAATGTCACCCTCCTTCTGTTTACGAATCCACTCAGGATAAACAAAAGCATGAATGGCAGTTGGTACTACAGCAATGACAAGGAACCCACTTATCATAAACATGATTATTGTCATGGATTTTAACTTGGGTTGATTTTGAGTGACTGCACTTCCATTCTGGGTCAATATATTCTGCTTGTAACGGGACATCAGTAGCTTCACAACGATGAATAAGTTACATCCGGTTACCATCCCAATCGGTACGAGGGAAAAAACACAAAAATCGATCCACGGAAATATGATAAGAGCAAATTTGTAGTATGCTGGGTTGCCGACTGTACAGGACAACAAACTGGTGCTGTTGGATCCACTCGTTACTTCATAAGTGATGAAAAAGTGAATGTTTATTGAAGCCAAGAAAAGTGCAATCGCAGACGCCAATATATACACATTTCTGACAGAGAAATAGACACGCACTTTGTGAGGTATCCCAACTGCAAATGCTCTCTCCAAAGCCAAGATAATAACTAACCATACTGAGAAATCAGTGAAAAAGTAGTTAAAAAATCGATAAACCTTGCAGTAAGCGTTTGAAATTTCGGTTAAGTCCTTTCCTGATGTCAACAATATGATGAACCTTAATGGACCAATCATGAGATTGACGATATCTGACATGCTTAACATCACCAAGATTGAGCTCGTTGAATTCCCGAAGAAGCATCTCCGTCTTAGGATGAGGATGTTCAAGCTATTGGTCAAGAAGCCTATGATCATGAATATCGGCATTGACACCAGCCACAGCTTCATCGCTATACGATATCGCAAAAAGTCCTCAAGTTGTGTAATGTGGAAAGTTGCATTGAAGGTTACATTTTCCATTCTTAACTCATAAAATATATCTCCATCAGATTTTATTTATAAATCCTGGTTTAAAATGTATATTGAAAGACCCTGCAGTACTCAACTTCCTGCTCGTTCGATGCTTATTTAATTCTTTTCCATAAAGTCAGTATTCGGAAGTGTTCTTTTCTTTGCATGTCTTTCATAGATTCCAATATGCTTTCAAATTGTTGATGCAAAAAAAGGAAATAAACTTTTCAGATTTATACTAAATGTAGCCTCAATTCATGCGACGTTAACTTAATTTATTACATGTGATTAGCTGTTCTGTCTTTCCAGTGTCTTTAACAAATAATAACTGCCTCCACACAGTGTCCTATAGCACATAAGGCCACAAAAAGTTAATTATCAGTTTAATAGGATACATTTTTAAAAATATGAAAAGTAACCAAGTTTATTTTATTCTTTTATACTCTTTAATTGACAAACTGTGCATCAAAATGAAAGAAAAGGGAAAACTCCTGAAAAGAAAAAAAAACTTTGGAAAAATATAACTGACACAAAAAGAATATTTAATTTGGAGGGGCCCAATTACAATATGATATTAAAGGCTAGGTATTACATTCATCAGCTATAAAAGCCCTTCTAAATGTTCTATTGGTAATAAAACCTGAACCATCCACAAGTCTAGTCACTTCTTTATCATCTCTTAAATGTCATATTATACACATTTTATCAAATAAATAATAATAAAAAGACATATGTGGGAATGATAATGAGAAAAATATTATTGAGCATGCACATGACAAGACATCTGGTTTAACATTACATCTAGATAATGCACATGGAATATGATTATAAAACTATCATATGTTAATATCTGTTTGTTTTTACAACATCTTCTTATTCCAGTTCAAGAAACTGCAAGCACTGGATCTTAGGTAGACAAAGATGCGAGGTTAGACTCTCCCATATCTCCAATTTTAAAGAAAAATTGTAAACTCGACAGATAAATTATAGAACAAATTTAACAAGGCATTAACATGACAAAATGTCACCACCTAGTTGCTCACAATATTATGAGTTCAAACTTAAGTCAGATTTGAATTTCTGAGAACTTGTAAAGTCAAATTTGAACTTCTGAAAAGATGTAGATGATTTTGAAAAAAAAATTAGTCAATTTGAAGCAAGTTGAAAAAAGACCTTTTTGACCTTTTTTGACCTTGAGAAGGTCATTGAAGGTCAAATGTCAAATCTAAAGTCAAATCTTAAGTCAGATTTGAATTTCTGAGAACATGTAGATGATTTTGAAAAAAAATTTAGTCAATTTGAAGCAAGATGAAAAAATACCTTTTTGACCTTTTTTGACATTGAGAAGGTCATTGAAGGTCAAATGTCAAATCTAAAGTCAGATTTGAATTTCTGAGAACATGTAGATGATTTTGAAAAAAAATTTTTGTCAATTTGAAGCAAGTTGAAAAAAGACCTTTTTGACCTTTTTGACTTTGAGAAGGTCATTGAAGGTCAAATGTCAAATCTTAAGTCAAATCTAAAGTCAGATTTGAATTTCTGAGAACACGTAGATGATTTTGAAAAATTTTTTTAGTCAATTTGAAGCAAGTTGAAAACAGACCTTTTTGACCTTTTTTGACCTTGAGAAGGTCATTAAAGGTCAAATGTCAAATCTAAAGTCAGATTTGAATTTCTGAGAACATGTAGATGATTTTGAAAAAAAAATTTAGTCAATTTGAAGCAAGTTGAAAAAAGACCTTTTTGACCTTTTTTGACTTTGAGAAGGTCATTGAAGGTCAAATGTCAAATCTAAAGTCAGATTTGAATTTCTGAGAACACATAGATGATTTTGAAATTTTTTTTAGTCAATTTGAAGCAAGTTGAAAACAGACCTTTTTGACCTTTTTCGACCTTGAGAAGGTCATTGAAGGTCAAATGTCAAATCTTAAGTCAAATCTTAAGTCAGATTTGAATTTCTGAGAACACGTAGATGATTTTGAAAAAAAAATTTAGTCAATTTGAAGCAAGTTGAAAACAGACCTTTTTGACCTTTTTTGACCTTGAGAAGGTCATTGAAGGTCAAATGTCAAATCTAAAGTCAGATTTGAAGGTCAAATGTCAAATCTAAAGTCAGATTTGAATTTCTGAGAACATGTAGATGATTTTGAAAAAAAATTTAGTCAATGTGAAGCAAGTTGAAAAAAGACCTTTTTGACTTTGAGAAGGTCATTGAAGGTCAAATGTCAAATCTAAAGTCAGATTTGAACTTCTGAGAACATGTAGATGATTTAGAAAAAAATTGAAGTCAGTCTAAACAGTATTTGTTAAGTTATAGGAAGTTGTAAGAAATTGTTACAGACGCCGGACGCCAACCGCCGGACGCCGGACGCCAACCACCAACCGCCGTCGCAAAAAAACGGAGACCATAGCAAAGATAATTATAATAATAATAACAAAGATAAATACAGTAATATAGTTTAGGCCACGACAAATCATTATGTTTTTAGTGGGATTCTTTTAATATACAGTAAAACCTGAGTCAGTGAACACATCACTCAAGTGAACACCTATCAACAGTGAACATTTTTTACCATGTTAAAGTACAATCCTAGAGTGAACACCTACCTACTGTGAACAGTGAACACTAAATCTTGGCAAAATCAGTTGAATTATCCTGTCTCTAGTGAACATTGAATGAGATATAAGATTTCTTGCAGATTTTCTGCGTCAAAATTGACGCCTTACTCTTGACTAAAAATCCCAAAAGGCAGTCAGAGATTATCATAGATAGAATCATTCCTGAAAATTTGAAATCGATCCGCCAAACAGTTGGCCTGGAAATGCGTTGACAAGACTACAGATTTTAGGACAGAAAATCCAAAATGGCCACCTTAACATTTACCCAGAATGCCCAAAACCTAATCAGTTCCACAATCTCATATTAAGAATCATCTCTAAAAATTTGAAATTGACCCGTGAAACAATTAGCCTTTCTACTATTTTTTAAATCAAAACAAAATGGAGAAACATAGATTTGAAAAAGAAATGTTTTCATCATAATGAAGACTATTTCTAGAAGCCTACATGTAGGTGTAGTAAAAAAGTCATAATGGAAAAACAATTTTTCTTAAGTGTAGAACATCTGTGCCATTTTCAATAACTTCGTTTTGAATTAGAACAACATTCCTGTAGAAGAATGGCTGATTGGGCCACTGCATGTGGTGGTGTAATATTAAGGGACTTTTAAATTTAAAAAAATGAATTGTGCAAAATTTTTGTTATTTTTTAGTAAAAAGACATATGCTCCGAGTTCCTTCAAACATTCCTTCTCTTATTTCTTTGTGCTAACTTAAAATCTTCCGTATGATTTATGAAAAAGAAATGAATTTTTTAACTTTTGGAAGCTCACACATATCTTTTTATAGCGATAATTCACAGCAAAGCACAGCATTCAACCGCACGTGTTTTTTGCAGAAAGAAAGATGAAATTGGTTCATAGATAAGCAAGAAAGAAACTCATCCATGCATGAAAGTGGTTCAGAGAAAATGCATTTTAAATTTTAGTTCTCAAAGTAAGCAATGATACAGTAACATTTACTGTAATAATGTATTATGGTGTATTTTTCTTTTCAACCTTGTTAGTCAATCAACATTGGTTTATTTTAAAAGTTTCACTTATCAAGAAAAGATTGACATGGAAAAATTTCTTGCACTCTAAGTGACATCTTGACGATGTCATTCAGGAAGCAATTTTTTAGTTTGGTAAAACATATAAGAAGCACAAAAATTATTTTTCAAAAATCTCTGAAATAGCTTTTAAATCATGCAAAATAGTAGATGAATGAGAAAAACATATTTTCAAACTCGGGGCCTTGAAAAGTTGTAGTAAGAAGTATTGTATAAGAGTATATTTATATTATGAACTAGTATGTATTTCATAATGTGAAATCCAAGATATATCCATTACTCTACAAAGTCTCAAGCAGGAAACTCTTTCTTACAAAACAAGAGCCTCATATGGCAATCTGTAATTTCCAATTCTAGTTAATGGATTCACTCAAACAACATGACCAGACTCTATTTCTAATTTGATCTGAGCTAATCCTCTTAGAAGATGCTATTATTATCAATTGTAAAGGTTTAGCTTCTATGTAGTTAGCATTTATTCTATTGCCACTATCACTTGTTAATTAACACAGGCACAGGTGGCATAATATGTTTTAACATATTAAAAATGTCAAGTTATTGGTATTATTAGTTTTTTTTATTAATTTCCTGATAAAGTGTGGAATAAATCTGCCAGGATAGAATAACCCTATCAAATATTAAAATAACCCCTTCAAATATTTGAATAACCCTGTTAAGTTTAAATGTTATTGAATAATATAATTTGTTGTCAAACATGACTTTGTTCTTCACAGAATTCTTACCTTGGGCCATTCAGACAAATAGTTGGGTTTGAGCCACCTTTGCCATTGCCAACAGTCTCTTTCTCTACAAAAATATTAACAAGGCATATAACAAGCAAAATGTCACCACCTGCCATTTGTTACAGAAACAGAATGCCAGACAACAACCGCCGAACACCATCCACAAAAGAGTTGAAGACCACAACAATATGTCACTGCTTGCGGTGACATAAAAATAGATTAAAAGGGCACTCCTGGCCAGACCATTTCTACCCTGATATGATAGCTATTATCCATTATGTCCCTATCATTGAATATATGCCTGACGTCTATAGGTCAAGGGTAATATTAATTGACGACGGACCGAATAAGATTTTCAGTCATATATTGCACCATAAATCATAGAATCTTGGTCTTTATTCCTTAAATATTACATGAGACACATACTTGACTTTGTAAAGTGGATGATTTTGCCACAGAGAGCTGGGTCCTCATTCAAGTTCCAGAAATGTGGATATTTCTTTACATCTTCTTCTTCTTTCTTCTGTTCTTTAATTTGCACCTGAAAAAATAAGAAAATATTTAAAGCTGAAGAGTAATAGAATATGAAAATATTCAAACATTAATGTAACATTACAAGATATTTGAACCTCAAATGTAAAATACATTTTGGAGTTTCCAGTTTAATGAATCAACATTCCATTGATTCAATAAAGATTTGCCCACGGCCTCTCTCTTCAAAAAAAGATCCATCACAGATTTCCACATCAGACAACCTAAAGTGATAAGTATATCGTATTGAGATAAAATTTCAGAGAAAACTGTAAAAATTGATTAGCACAATTGACAAGAGAACTAGCCAATTGTATCAATGTGTATACAAACTTTGAAAAATCAAGATGTCTATTGCACACAATTGATTCCATTTGGTAAAACAAGGCAACAATTAATAGATGGTTACCTATTCAAATCACAACACACGATTTAGAATAAAATATAAGATGCCCTCAGCTGAGAATAATTCTGAGCAGATCTCTGACATGCCATGCATATAGTTTTATACTGTACCTCCATATCTTTTCTTGCTTGTTCCAACTTCTCCGCCCATGACTTTTCCAAATCTGATTTATATGTCTTGAGTTCTTCCTCCTTCTCCTGTTTGATCTTTTGAATATCTACAGCCATATAACAAGACAATTAACTAGGCAATGAAAATTTCAGTGTGTGGCAAATCCACTGTTGTAAAAGTGTAGTTTCCAAATAAAAAATAATTTACAAAAGAAAAAAGTAAAATGCCACATGTAAAATACTCATATTTAAAACATAAGTTAGCGACAAAAGTTTGCTCAAAATACAGGGTACATAAAAGTCTTTTTACACTTTACACAGACTTTGTATTTTTAATTATAAACAGACTTTATGGACACCCTGTATATTCAATGAACTTCCCACTAACCTTCCTCTGTGTATCCACCACTCTCCTTATTTCCTGACTTCATCATGCTCAGTTCCTTAAGGAGCCGCTCCTTCTCATGTATCAACTCCTGTATCAGTTTGCTCGTCTCAGACTCATTCACTTTAGCTGATGTCTTTATGGATTTTGCCCTATCAGCTACACAAAACAAGAGATACATTTCAAGCAAATACAGCAATAATGGAGAGTGAGACCTGTCATATATTCAGTAGAAAAATGGTAAATAGTAATATGTTTTTACTATCCTAATCCAGGGTATTTTAGTTTGAATAATGGAGGATTGAAACTGAAGGAATATCATAATAAACAATGCCCAGGACATCTCAGACCCAACACAACTCAGACCCAACACAACTTGTACCTAACACAACTTGTACCCAACACAACTCATACCCAAGAGAACTTGTACCAAAAACACAACTCATACCCAACACAACTTGTACCCAACACAACTCATATGCAACACAACTCATACCCAACACAACTTGTACCCAACACAACTTGTACCCAACACAACTCATACCCAACACAACTCATACCCAATATAACACGTACCCAACACAACTCATACCAAACACAACTCTTACCCAACACAACTCTTACCCAACACAACTCGTATCAAACACAACTCTTACCCAACACAACTCATACCAAACACAACTCTTACCCAACACAACTCATACCAAACACAATTCTTACCCAACACAACTCATACCAAACACAACTCTTACCCAACACAACTCATACCAAACAAAACTCTTACACAACACAACTCTTACCAAACACAACTCATACCCAACAAAACTCTTACCCAACACAACTCATACCCAACACAACTCTTACCCAACACAACTCATACCCAACACAATTCTTACCCAACACAACTCATACCCAACACAACTCATACCCAACAAAACTCGTACCCGACACAACTCATACCAAACACAACTCTTACCCAACACAACTCATACCAAACACAATTCTTACCCAACACAACTCATACCCAACACAACTCTTACCCAACACAACTCATACCCAACACAACTCTAACCCAAAACAACCCCATTTCCCAACATGTTATAATCAGAAATTTATTTTTGAAAATCTATCAAAAACTAACAGCTCCTGAAGAGGTATTGTGCTAGGAGTTATATATTAATAAAGAAATTGTGTGTTAACATACCATATCGTAAGGTGGACAATGTCTGGTCATAGTTCTCTGCATCAGGACTTATGGCGGCAATCATAGTAGTTTTGCTGTTTCCCCCGAGAGCATTTTTCAGTAGCCTCGTCAATACAGAATCACTGAATGGAATGTATTTCTTTTTCTTCACCAAATCTTCAATGACTCTACCAAGCGTTGAGAGCGACAGGTTGATATATTTTGCTTCTGTAAATCGTTGACCCTCAGCTTGCGTCTGACGTTGATTTTCACTCCCAGCTAAATCTACTAGATTTATTGAACAAAATTTTGTCACCTTTTCTCTAATTCTGTTTTGTTTGAAGTTTAAACACACTATAGTATGGGCTCGACTGAAAATACAATACAACTGTGCAGTACTTTGTGTGCGTTATTAGCCATATATCAAAGTAAACTTTTTGGTTTTATATAAATATTATATTTTATTAATTGACCACTCTTTTCGCTTTAATTTCAAATTAATTCCATTAGATTTTTTTACATCTCTTTTAACATTCATATAATATGTACGAAAACTGGAAACAAATAATAAACTGAATTTTCAAAAATGTTAACAATGAATTGATTGCTGAGAGGATGTCAAATTTGTATTTTCTATAGAGTCTAATTTCACTTTGTTTAGACACAGTATGCACAACATGGAGCCCCTCCAGCATATAATTTGTTTAGAATTTTCTTTGGTGATGGGTGATTAGTAGTTTTGACCACCAAAAATCATCAAAGCATTGCCTGTTATAAAAGTATCTGAGGATTTTCCTCAACATAAGGTCTTAATGTTTGAATCAGAGTACAAAAGTAAATGGAATGATAAATAGGCTAAAGTATGAAAATGAAAGTTCGTTTTTCAAGCAAGTACATGACAATTACTTTATATTTTCTTGAAAGTTAGAATAATTGTCCGATGCACATTTTCATTAAATACAATACCTGCTAGTTTCATTCATTTTGGTCTGACCAATTGTTCGATTTCTGTTTCCCTCACCCATGCGTGCCTTCACATCCTCGAAACTTCCTACAGGTACTTCGCTCAAATCAACAACTGGAAAACACGTGGATTTTATCAGATATATTCTCACATTTAGGCAAATTATTTGACTTTTACAGCTCTTGAAATGGACAAAGCATTTGACTGCCATCTTTATGTTCACTTAAAACATATAATATTTAATATACCATACACCCACAGCCTGTCTAGCTAGACAATAAACATTTTCACAAGGTTTTGCACATTTTTAAAGATTACTCAATAAATGCACTCATTTGTTGTAAGACTTCCAAAGATATGTTTTTATCTAATGAAAATCTCCAGCCTTGGGGAAATTACTTTTTTAAAATCTTGATTTCGCTTCTTAAAAGAGAGCTTCATATACAATGTACAGTGTACACTCTTTGAACATGAGATAATCTGTTGCCATTTTCTAGTGATTTACTTCTAAATAATTGCCAAATATTATGTTACCATAGAATCCTTTCTGTGGTGACTGCCTTATTTGTAAGCCAGTAGATGGGGCTTTCTTCTTGCTTAACAAATCCTTCACCTTTTCATTGTAAATCTCCAGCATACTGAAGGTCACCTAATAATAAAGTTATGGGACATCCACTCAATGTAATGTTACAATTGGGTGCATATTCAGGAACCAAAAATAACCGAGGCAAAATTTAAGCAAAATATGATCTTATGATTCCAAGGGACATGGTATTTGTCTGTACATTTTGGCTGGCTGCCTCATGAGCTAACTATGCCCATGACAACATTAATAGACATATAATTATTGTCCTGATGGGAAACCATAAGCAGCAACCATAAACAATAAGTCTTTATAACCAGTGATAATTCACATGAACAGTATATTAATTATTTTTTATTATTATTATTTTTTTGAAATAAATAAATAAACAAAAACAAGAAAAACAGTATATTAAAGAGGGGAATCAAAATTATTTTATAATAAAATATAACAAGAAGAAAATCTCTTAAAAGCATATAAAAGTAAGAAAGAAGAACAGGTGAAAATGTTGCTCTTTGTGTAAGTAAATTACAAAGTAAATTGATTCTTTACCACTCTTTGTTGAGTAGATAAAATTGCTACATGTACTTTATTCAAATATTTTTATCTTAATGTAAAAAGCAGTTTACCCTTCCACTAAAACAAAAAATATTTCAAATGAAAAAGTCACATACAATTTGACGCAGTCCCTTTAAATATTCTTACCTGATATTCAATATCTTTATTCTGTTTAGCAGAAATTTCCTTAAAGAGGTTTTCTCCAACTTGAGGCACTAAACCTGCGGTAAAAAAAATAAAACAAAAATCTCAAAAACCTAGAACACATTGATTGCCTGTGTTAATGGCAGCATACACACCCGGCTTACACATGGGCTGGGTTCTTATTCTTAATGTTATGTAATGCATTCAGATTCATAAAATATGCGCTTTTTAAAGTTGAATTAATCCATTTTGATAAGAAAAACTATGTGATAGAGTACTATTCAAAACCAGACAGGCAACTTAAAATGTCCCTGCGGTTAATTCAATTGATTAATCAATGCAAATGAAATCAAAATTATTCTCTAGAAAACAGAATGCTCAAGTATTTTAAGCGAGTCAAACTTCCTTTCAAGCTTCCTGCGTACCTTTATTAGCTCCATAACCCATAATAGAATAGGACTTTCCACTTCCAGTCTGGCCATATGCAAATATTGAACAGTTATAGCCTTCCCATGCATTGGTTAGCATCCCCTGTCCTAGGTCTTTGTAAAGTTTCAACTATAATATAGATAGGTGATATTATTATATAAAAAAATGCAGTATGTACGAGATGTGGGAAGACACCTGTATACTACTGAGAGACTAGTGACTGAGGGATGATTACTATACGAAAAAAACATACAACTGTATATCATAAATTTATTGTATAATTTTGTCTTTTTCTTATACATTATATAAATGTACTTACAAAGGTGAATTACTTCTAGCCCTTGATATATTCGTTAGAGCTCCATTTGGAGTTCATATGAACAATAAAAAGTAAAACAAGTCATTTTCTTGAAATGTGACATTCATACCTGGTCAGTATATTTAGAGCCAGTAGGCTCGAGGTACCCACTAGATGTCTCTTTGTATTCATCATGTGACCAATAGGAATGATCAAACGTAAATTTCCTTGGGTCTGCTTTTGGATCTTTGGGGTTGAAAAGAAGCGTCATCTTTCCTTGCATGTTGATTATTAGCTGGGCACGTTTGTCTATTTCACGTTTACTGTACACAACAGTTAAAGATCATAACAAAAATCACTGATCAATGGGAGACGTGACTTATATAGGTGGCAGTTCACCAATTTTCTCAAGTTGGTTGTTCTTCACACCTCTACCATTGGTTTATGTATAAATGTTGCAGTCTTAAAACTTCAAGTCCTTGCAGGGCTACATCTTATCAAGCAACAATATTCTCTTCACATTCAAATGACAAGGGACATGCATATGAGGTCATTAAGATCAAAATGGACATCACAACTGTGTAAAATCATCTGTATAATAATCAGAAATTTGTGTTGTTACCATATGAGGATCTGCAGAAGATACTGACTTCTTCGCAGATAGAACAGTTGTAAATTATATTTTATGAAATTGATTATGTGATGAAAAACAAAAGGGAAAAATATCTTAATGTTACTAAGCATATTATTAAAGTAAAAGAAGTTAATTTTACACCAGAAATATGGCCTATAAATAGTAAACCGTGACTCTTGATTTTTTAATCAAAAAAGGATATGAAAGGGCGGACCCTTACAGCTACTAAAACATTATTCGCCATCTCTACTTCAGTGCTCAGATGCAGCTAATGTGTAACTTGTTCAGAAGTTCAAGGGATTCATTGACACCATGGAACCACCTCAAAATGAACATCTGAAAAATAAAATATAAAAAAATCATTGTTACATTTCTAGAAAGGGTTACACAAAGGTACCTGTACATTCAATTTGTTTGATAAATACAGTAGTAAGCAACCAAAAGCACAAATGAGAACAGGCCCGTAGCCAGGGGGGGTTCGCAGGGTTCGGGCGAACCCCCCCCCCCCTGGCCAAAAATTCTTTCAAAATCATGCAGTTTTTCACCATTTTGAGCACTTCTCAAGTGATTTTAGCCATATTTGGGCCAAAATTGTCAAATGTGAACCCCCCCTGGAAATTTTTGAAAAATGAACCCCCCCTTAGCAAATCCTGGCTACGGGCCTGGAGAACTAATGAATACATTAGTGGCTACATGTATAAATCTCTGAGTCCGGAATATAGAAAAAGCCTTGGAAGAAGGTAAAGTTAGCCCCTGGGCTTTCAAAAGACTTAATTCTTGAAAGCCCATATTGCCCGATCATTAACCTCTTGAATACCCAGAATGACGGATATATCTGTCGCAAATAAAATCCATTTGGAACCCAGAGTGACAGAATTTTTCACTAAAACTGCTCTAACTTCGGCATGTGTTATCCAATCTTCACAAATTATGTTTTAAAATGTATGTAATGGGTCCATGTTTACTATTCTTATGAAATTGAACTACAAATATAGTGTTTGTAGATGTAAATATCCAAAAACTGGCCAAAAATGAAAAATGCTAGGTTTCAAACCCTTTTTAGAGGCTAGTATACAAGAGGTTACATGCACTGTTGTTTCCACTTCAAAGAGGATAATGGTACATAAACTAGTAAGTGTGATCTCAGTCATTTTTAAAGTTTTTTTTAAATTGTCAATAGTCTGTATGTAACTTTATTATGTAGTTTTGTTGTAAGACAAGATATTTCCTGAAAAGAAAAGGGTAATGATTTTTGGACTGCATCCAAAGATGTCTTAAAGAGGCACTATGCCATAGGATAGCACAATCAAGACACCTTTGGACTTTTTTGCATATTGAGTTTCACCACATATATTCCCATCTACTTACCAAAGAAGAAGGCCCAAACCCCCCTCTTTCGGTGTTAATTTTGCGATTGTGCTGGCCGATCTAATTATTTTCGAAGAAATTAATTCAATCTGAAATTTGAATATTCCGGGAAAGTCTTCCTGTTATCTGATTGGTTGCTTAATTTGTTTATCATAAACCTGATTGGCTCCCTGGTTCAAGGCGTTGTGCGCTTGTGTGACTCAATGGGGATTCCCCTCGATAGCCGAGGAATCGATTGTGTTAATTCTGGAGTTTGGTTGTTCTGTTGATTATTTCCGATATTTCGGCAATAATATACCCAAAAGTTATTCTCAAGATATATCCATGGTATGTGAGATATTATATGAGCAATAACAATAGGACATCATTGATTGTTTTGGGGAGAAACCTATGGCATAATGCATCTTTAAGATCTAACGCAAACCCTTCAAGGAATATAGATCAGATGCGAGAAAGTAGTTACCAGTTTTACCACCAGGTGGCTCATTTGGGTCAGATAGCATGGCGGGAAGAGTAGAAAGTTACCCAAACTATAAGTCACATTTTCAAAAATTAAACTTTCAAAGTTGATCAATTTTCGAAACGATATTTCTAGATGTACTTTTACATATAGATTTCAAATATGACATCATTTTGATCGAATTTTAAATATCTAATCACAGATGTCAAGTAGCTTCTTCGAAACTAGATAGGTCTCAGCATATCACAAAATTTGGATACTTCTGACTTCTTTCGCCAGAACACTCTGGTCGTCCGTAATCTAACGACGTAAATCAAGATTATATCTGGTCGAATGTAAGTCAACACCGGACACCCCCCCCCACTCTTATACCTCTCTAGTCCAACAACATTATAGACCTAGCCTGGGCCTCATTTATCTGAGATGTCTTATGGCCCTGCCTAACGGCCAAGAAAATTCCTAATAGTAAAGAAAGTCGATATTGAGTTTAACGATAACTAATACCTCCCCCCTCTTTCAAGAGAAAGCCCATGCTTATATGTTACTGAGGTAACAGAGGACCTGGGGTGACTTACTTCCCATGATTCTGTTGCATTGGTGTTCTACCTAATGAAAATAAGTCCTAGTCCACAGGCATCGGAGCAGATTAATAGAGTTTTGTCCTATTTAGAAAATCCATGCACTGTTTTGAACATAGGCTAAGGGTTAAGTAATAGTAAGCTGTATACTCTTCTGTATACAGCTTACTATTACTTAACCCTTAGCCTATGGTTTTGAAGTCAGCTCAAAATTTTGAACGTTGAATAAATTTTCTAAATTATTCTTTGAGCCTATGAGATCCTACTACAAAACGATCTGGTCAAGATCTGTGGTTAAAACAATTTTGTCACAAAATGTGTCAAAGACCGTCGAGACTAGCACTCAAAATATTTCATTTCCACTTTGCATTTTACAAATGAAAACAAAACTCACCTGTAATCAGAAATATTTAAACCGGAAGTGGTATACTTCGCGCATGCGCAAAATTCTGTGGCAACTATTTCAAAATTTGATCTCATTTGAAAACATTGGATTAGATTGTTGCACAGACAATGGGTTAATGTATTAATCATATAGATTCAAACATATTCGATAGGCCAATGAAAAGCAAAATCCTGTCTCTTTTGACGATTTGAACCAGGAAGACGAAGGAAATGAAGGAAAACTAAAATTAAAAGTCAACAGCAAACAAACAACAAATCAATCAAATTCAAATGTCAAAAAGATCCAACCATGATGTGATTATAATTTCAGCGTGTAAGGTGGGGTGAGTAGTTTCTTTCTTTTACATTATTCATTTTGCCTGGGTTCAAAGCCAGTTACATATAGTGGAACTTAGTCATGGGCGTAGCGCTATTTTTCTAAGAAGTACGCCACCACCATGGGAACAAGAGTTGAGTGAATCAAAAAGCGAGCATTCAGGGGGGTTTCGGGGTTCTCCCCCAGGCGAATTTGGAACCATCTGGTACGCCTGTGCGTACCCAGCGTACCGGGCGCTACGCCCATGTTAGTTCGACGATGGCAATTTTCCCTTTCGTGGTTCGCTCTAAGGTGTGACCCTATCTGTTGCATTAAGACTTATGCCTGGCATAACCGTCACAATGATATTTAAGTGATTTTAAGTTGCGCAAGGATCCTGTGGTAGTGTTATTGTGAAAACCTGGTATAACCGTTACAATGCTATATTACATTGCAATACCTGTCATGACTGTGGTAATGTTAAAGCCTGATCCGTGACAATGCTATTCTATATTGCAAGGCCTGTCATGACCGTGGTAATGTTAAAGCCTGGCATGACTGTGACAATGGTTGCAAGCCTGTCATAATCGTGGTTATGTTAAAGCCTGATATGACCGTGACAGGCGTTGCAAGGGCTGTCATGAACTTGGTAATTGTAAAAGTCTGATAATGTTAAAGCCTAATGTCAAAGCCTGATATGACCGTGACAATGGTTGCAAGGCCTGTCATGACCGGGGTTATGTTAAAGCCTGATTAGTGATAATGTTAAAGACTGATATGACCGTGACAAGGGTTGCAAGGCCTGTCATGACCTTTCTTATGTTCAAGCCTAATATGACAGTGACAGTGGTTGCAAGGCCTGTCATGACCGTGGTATTGTTAATCTCGACTACTTCTACTATAATTCTATAATTCTAATCTCATTCAAGACCGTGAACATTGTCACAGTCATATAAGGCTTTAACATTACCATGACAGCTAGGCCTTGCAATATGATATAGCATTGTCACGGTATGTACAATAATATTGTATATACAATATACAATTCATCAGATTGTGCTGCATGGTGAGCCTTGTTTATATTATTTATAAAGAAATATTGATGTAAACACTAAATAATTTTGCGCACAGATTGTGATTCCCCCCAGCTGTCCACAATTCACCATTACTTTTAAGTATTGTTACATGATATTACAATGATCCCAAGTATTTATTGAAGGGAAGAATAGATGTTAAATATTACATTGTAACTGTACAGATTCATGATTTATAGTGTTCATTCGGATTTGCTACTCCGCGGAGTTGCCGATTTCTAGTTTCAATTAATTTTTAAATGACGGTCGTGGATTGAGATAATGGCCCTCTGATATTCATTGTATCATGGGCCCTATTATGCTTTATTAAGTATGAAGCATGACCTCAAAATTTACAGGCCTGGAACTCAGATTACATATGAGCCATGGCTACAGAAAAAAGGGTCTTTTTCAATGTTTTGATTTTTTGTTTTTTTTAAAAAGCACAAAGAGACCTTTCAAATGAGTCATTGCTTGTGTCTTAACAATATTTCCTTGCGGATATAGACCAAAAAGACGGATTTGAATTTAGCACATATTTCTCTTAATCTTGCATGGGCATATTTTTGACTCTGTAGCACAAATAAAATTTTTGTGATAAGACCGGTTTTCCTATGGCAAGGCTCATATTTTCAATGTACATGTAGTCATGTTCATAAATGCTAAATAGTTAATAATGATCCATGGTAATGCTAATGTTTGGTCTGTATGTTTGTTTTTTAAAGATATTATGAATACATGAAACCTACAAACCTGTGTTGTCTCCTAATAATGAAATGTAGTCAGTTACTTTTCTGTTTTTTCTGTTTCTTTGTTGCTATGGTAACACTCTGTTGGTTGCAATATTGGCAGTTACCACTTTCATGTCAAAAGCAAATTGACTTCATTTTACAGAATTTTACTTCTCAGAAATCATGAATTATTAATACTACAGTTTAAACCAATCCAAATGCTTTTAACTAACAATAAATATGAAGAGCTTATCAATAGAATCGGGAGTGTTCAATTATGTTGTATTCAATACATTATGCATTACAGGAATGTCATCTACAATCATAGCAATGAATTTAACATGACAACTTTTTGGCCTAAAAGGTACAATTCATTGAATCTAAAAATACTTTGAATACTTTGTTTGGGCAGGGATTCAAAGTTGTACAGTAGGAAAGAAAGGCACTCTTTGAAATCAAGATTAATCATTATTAAGGTAGCTTCAATTAAAATTGCTATATATAAAATAAAAACAGTTTTAAATCATCTGATGAATATTTATTGATTGATTTTTATATATTTTCAGGATTTGATGAAACAGTATGGGAAATTCCTGTTGCTGCTGTGTACCAGGGTGGAAACGTCGACTTGTGATTACTGATAGTGGTAATGTCAGTGGGTGTGGGGGATTTGTCAGTGGTGGGGGAGGATGTGGCGGAAGATTCACACAACATCGGCAAGTTGAACTTGGTGATTATGATAGCGATGATGACCCTGGGTGTGGGGGAAGAAAACGCAGAAAGAATAAAAAATCATCTCGAGGAAGGAGAAATCAAATTAATGATAGAGCTGATGTTGTAAATGATGTTGAGAGTGACTCGGATCCTGGTTGTGGAGGTCGAAGAAATAAGTCCAGGACTAAAAAAAGAACTGGTCAGAGTGCTAAAAGTCCTATGAACAATGGAGAGATAAACACTGCCTACTCAGACAGTGATTCAGACCCAGGCTGTGGAGGACGGAAGAAAAATAAATCCAGCAAAAAGATTCCCAAACCCAAGAAATCACCAACTAATAAGGTTCACGCTATTGATGAAAACCCAAATGCACAAAGCAATAATAAAAGAAACCCAAATGGCTTCATTGTGCACGAGGACAAATTATCAAATGACACTCAACATAATTCTCCTCGTATTAATCACAACAAGGGACTTAAAGATAGAACTAACATCCCCAATGGTGTTCCATCAACAGATAAGCAAACATTTGATAATGATAAATGGAGTTCAAAAATCACTCATCATGAAGCACCTCAAAATCCTAAAAATGATGGTGTTGTTTTAAACCAACTGGACACTGGTAGATACATAACCCAAGAGAACCAACAAGAAAATAGATCAGGCAATAACAAAATGGATGAAGATAAATGGATCTCAAGAACAACACACTATCCCCCACCTCAAAATCCCAAAAGTGGAACATCTGGAGATTATTACAAATCAGACACTGGACGTTATATTACACAACAAGAGAAACATCGCCAAAATGAATCGAGCTCTATAGACAGTAACAGACTTGACGGTGATAAGTGGATCTCAAGAACAACACATTATCCCCCACCTCAAAATCCCCAAAGTGAAACATCTGGAGCATATTACAAACCAGACACTGGCCGTTATATCAAAAAAGATCAAGAGATTCTAGATATGCCAAACAATATGCCACCTAATAGGTATAATATGACAGATGATAGCCTTAATAGAATAAATCTTGCAAAGAACTCATTTAGTTATAACTTTGACGGTAGAGGAGGACCTGCAAATGAAACTCAAAATGTTCAACAGGATTACCGGAGTATGAATAGCTCTCAGAAAAACAATCTCAACCCCACTGTAAATAAATCAAACAAAAGTGATGATGACGTGCCTTCGAATAAGTCACTTGCCACAAGAGATTCCAAAAGTGCAATTGAAACCACCATGCCTACTTCAGACATTTATAATGGCCAAGATGCCTTTCCATCTCAACCTAATGCCACAATAGGGACTGGTCAACTTATAGCAGGTCCACCACAATTTGGGAAACACCCTAGTGGAAAACATTTTTCTCCGAGGGAGAGTATGGCCAACGAAGACAGTGTCAAGATCACTAATGACAAGGCAATACAAGAAAATGAAGCTCTGAGGAAGAAAATTAAAGAACTTGAAGAGGTATGTTTTATTTTTCATAGGTGTAAATAATTAAACAATGATAATTAAAATTTGATATGGATGGAAAATATGGGTCAGATCAAGTGGGTTGGGTTGGTTTCATGTAAAAGTTGGATTGGATCCATATTTTTCATAACTCATTTGTCGTATGTGACTTTGCTTTGTGCCTATTTTGTGTTGTCTGTCAACGTCATTTTAGCCATTTTAGTAGAATTGAACTGAATCACAACATTCAATTTTTAATTTGTAAAAATAAAATGAGTAGAATATGTTCAGTATAAATTTTAGTTATTTCAATTAATAAGGTAAATATGTAATGAAAATAGGGGTTTTAACCTGTAAATTAAATGTATTTGTACTAGAGTCATCAATGTTTACTCATGTGAATTAATAATTATTGAGGATAGTTCAGCTTGACGGTAATCAAAAAGAACTTCAGGCTTGTAGAATATCATCTTGCGAAAAATGCACAGATTCACCTCAGTAAAATGAAATATATATATTAGAGAGGTTATTTAAAATGAGGGATGTAAAATGAATTTCATTCTGAGGGAAAATATAATATTGGCCAAGGAAAATATAATATTGACAAAAGCGACAGCCAAGTCTCAATATAATATTTTCTGAGACTAATATCATATTTTCTCGAGAAAAAAATTCATATTCCATCACAACCATCAATGACCTATTGATTCCATTTTTCAAGTTCATTGTCAAGTTTGATTTGTCATCACCTGATGATGGTGACATAAAAATAAAATGATACAATTTGATTTATCACATAAATTTTCCACTTTTATTTATAATATTTGAAATAAAACGAAAAATGTAAAAATCTAGAGAAATCCCCAGGAATAGTTCTGATACTGGAACTTATATGGGATTTTGGCTGATACGTGATCTAGTACAGGATCTGATACAGGATTTTGCCTGATACAGGATCTGATATGGGATTTTTGATTATCAGTTGTAGTATATTGTATAGTTTATTTCCCAGAAAAAAAAAGTTATTATAGAACAATTGTAGAATATAACATTGTTGACTTTGATATTTTTTAATGATTTAGGATTGAAATATAAAGGAGGAACAAAAGGCACCAATAAAATACATTTATTCATGATTGCTTTTACCTAGAAAGCTCTTTATAGAAAGCTTTTTATATTGATTTCTGTATGCTACATTAATCTATACTTCCTAGACTTTGTTGTTATATGAACATAGCCTTGTAGAAAATCCATTTTGAAGGATGGGGTCACTCTGCCTTAGTATAGCTTTAGACTTGTAGAAAATCCATTTTGAAGGATGGGGTCACTCTGCCTTAGTATAGCTTGAAAATTCAATTACTTGCCTACTTAAGAATTAAAGGTTCAACAATGAAAAAAGTCGTCACAATTTTACAATATGTTTTGCTCTCATAATTGCATGTCATATGTATTTTATGAAAAGTCCAACAATTCTGACTATTTCGACTTTTTCAGGATAATAATTTTGATTTTAGAATTATCTGGCCAAAACTTGAAAGTAATCTTTTTCAATTCTAGTGAAAACGCTGCCATTTTAATGTGTATAATTACAATCATTTATTACAATCTAGGAATCCTATGCTTTCATCAGATCTTGATATGGAGAATGGAAAAATTAGTTACCATCATGGTCATCCCTCAGACCAGCAGTGCCTCAAATCAATCTTTGTCTCAATAGTTTTAGTTTTTCCAGATATTTTTATTTTAGAAATTGATTTAACTGTTTAAATGGTTTCATTTTAAACACACAAGAAGCACATGTTGTTGTTTTTTGTGGGGGCTATCCATAGAGAGTCAAAGTCTGCTTAATGAATAATTATAATGATGTTCTCTTTTTCAGGCATTGGTTGAAAGTCAAAAAGATTTATGTACTCAGATAATTCTGGATCGTAATATGGGCGATGAGTTTGACTCGGAGACAGTTTTTGGTGACCTTTGCCATTTATCTAACATCCAGAAGGAAATCACTGTCATAAAACACACTCAGGTATGTTAAAAGAAAAAGGACACATTAAACTAAAGGATGAATGAAAAATGATGCATGATGAATGCCAAATTTGCATATTTTTTCTCTGAGAATGCATAAGATGTACATATAAAATGCAAATTATGTACTGTACATATAAATGCAAAAGATGTACATATAAATGCAAAAGATGTACATATAAATGCAACAGATGTACTGTACATATAAATGCAAAAGATGTACATATAAATGCAAAAGATGCACATAAAAATGCTAAAGATGTACATATAAATGCAAAAGATGCATCTAAATGCTAAAGATGTACATATAAATGCAAAAGATGTACATATAAATGCAAAAGGTGTCTCTAATGGAAAGGAAACTCAAAAATATGAAGTATGAGGAAGGTGGCCAGATGCTAAGTGGTGGCCAGGTGGGCACCACGTAAATATTGTCATCAACATTTAAGGAAATCCTAATTTTTTTTAACTAGAAATATATAAGATGCAAGAGCTGACTCCTAAATGCCAAGATCTGGTACAGTTTTGGGCATGTTGGGTATTACTTGGTGACTATTTTTGAATTTTTCAATAAAAAGTTGTGATATTTATAGTATCACCTTGTTTCAATTTTTATCAGTTTTACTGGTAGGCAGTTTTGTAATGAGAAGTCTAATAAATTACTATAGCCTTTAGGTTTCTGAAATTCACTGATTGTTTTGATACACTCTAGATTGGAAATAGTCCCACACATGTTACCATAGCAACAAACACAGAAGGACACATAGGCGATAGTTCAGCAGACATGAGCACTGGAATGGATCGGCCTGCAACCACTGCTATGTCAACAGGTACTGATGGGATCGGTGGGACATCTATTGGTACAGAAATCGATGAAGAACTCTCTGAGACAGACCTCCAGGGCAAACACAATAAGGTAAGTTCATTTAAACTTAGAAGTCTCAGATGTTCAGATAAAAAGATGTTCAAAATACTCAGATGAACAGAATGCTCATGGTTAAATTTCTCGCCTCCTACCAACAGTATTGGACTTGTCAAAATATTGGCTTCAAAAGAATGTTTTCTTTGCTACCAGAACAACATATATACTAATACTAGATATAGTATTCATGGCTTACCACAAACAGTTAATCACCACCTGTTTTGGGAACATGTTTAGAATTACAAACAGTAAAACTTGCATTATCTTATTTCAGGAAATGCAAGCTATCAATAAAGATTTTTCAATCAAACTCCGGAAGAGGGTTGATGATATGTCCCAAAAAGATCTGAAAAAACTGTTAGATGAACACCGACGGCAAGTTGAAAAACTTCAGCTTCAGCAGCAATCTGAGCGTGAACGGTTACGTCGATGTCTCCAAGAAAGACTTAATCAACGACAGAATCAAAATAACAAATTGAGCAGTGACATGTCCAGTGCATCGAGCAGCAGCAGTTCAAGCAGTGACGATTCTGACTCTTGTGTCAACCAATCAAAATCCTCAAAGAAACCCACCTCTCAGTCTGATAATTACTCAGATACCAGCTTTTGCAGTTCAGATTCTGGGGTAGGTCTATATACAGATAGTATATGAAGTGATAAAGTATTGCAGTTGTACATGCATTAATATGTTGTTGTTTATTGCGCTTTTTATACGTTATATTGTTGTCGTCTGCTGGGTGGGTTGGCAAGCAAGTGACCAGGTGGGACCATATAAAATCTTGTCATAAAAATTCCAGGAAAACCAAGGCCACTAACCTGTTTAACTTTTTACACAAGAGCAGACTAGTGTCAAAAGATCTGATTAGGTTTGGGGCATGCAGGCAGCCATTTTGAATTTTTCGATACTAAAAGTGCGATATTTATCACTGTGCGATGTGTTTGTTATTTCATCATTTTAACTCAAGATGTATATTTTATGTGATGTACATATATTTAGTTCTCTTAGTTGGTACATGATGTTATGCTAATGATCTTGACTCTTGATTATTTACAGAGTTCTAGTGACTCTGAGAGTGAGAATGAAGAAAATGCTGAGTTAATGAACACAGTTACAAGTGAAATTATGACAAACATTTCCTCTATGACTGAGAAGGACATGAAGGACTATATGCAGATCGCAAGGAGACAACGGGAGAAATTGAAGAGAATCCGTGGCAATGAGAAACAGAGAGCAGATGAATCTCTGCTAGCTATACTTGCAAGAAGACGGGAAGTTACTGATAAGGTATGACATACCACATGATTTTATATGACCACCATATCTTGTTATGGTCTCCAACTTTTTATGGATGGTGTTCTGTGGTTGCTCTTTGGCTGTTGACTTTTTGCATCTGTAACAAATGGTAGGTGGTGACATTTTGCATTTTAATCCCTTGTTATAATGGTAAAATGCTGAATTCAAAGATATTTGAATTAGGAACAGATCTTTTTATCCACAAATTTTAGTGTTTCCCTGAATTTATTCTGTTCAGGCATCACACCAATTATTTAGTATTTCCTGTATTCCCTTCTACCCAATTGCTTAACTCATCCATCAGGATGTTCTTCAGGAAGGTAATGTGTTTGATGGTGATAAAGAGGAGATGCCTGCCGATGATGCAGGTGATAATGGTGATGAGAGTGGACCACCTCATGACAATGCAGAAGCCTCCCAAACTGAGCTTTTCATGAAAGATGCCCACACCCAGATGCAAGAAAAAATCAATAAATTAAATGAGGTAGGAAATATTCTTGTATTTTGCCCAAGATGTACAAATGAATCGTGTACATATTAAAACTGCCTGTTTGTCATAATTGTGAAAATACAATGGTGCAATCAGTGTTCATTTTTGTATTCTTTAAGTTGATGTAGGGTTGTGTGACATACATGGGATGCTATTGAATAATTTTGGGGATGTATTGGAAGATGACAATTTACTAAGAAATAGCAATAATTTAGCACAATTTATTTTTTAACTCAAGTTCTGCTTCGATTATGACAAAATGAAGCACTCTATGCAATGGCTATTTCATTAATAAATTTGTAGGAATTCTGTTGGAATCTATTTCCGATCGAATACGAAGTTATTGAAAACGGGCAATAAATGTAATCAGCAGAATTCTACTTCATCATATTGGGATTAGAGATTAGAAGTGTATAAAAGTGAAAAGTGTAATCTATCATAATTGTATTCAAGACTTTCATTTTGGCAAGTTTATGTAAATATTTCTTCTTTATTTATTATTGTAGCTAAGCATATACTAAATGGTTTCTTAAAACACAAAAAGTTTATGTTGATTTTGTTGTCTGGTTGGTTTAAAAACAAGTATCCTATAATTCAAAAAATCCCATTCATCATCATATACATTGACTTATACAAGGGCCGATCAAAAAGTTTCTTTCCGTTGGCTCTCAATTTTATAATAAGAGGAGTTGGAAGCTCAAACTTTAATATGAGACAGGATAGTTAGTTTGCTTGAAACTGTACGAGTTTCATGTAAATTGGTTCATTGGTAGTGACACAGAGTCAATTCGTATTTTCAATGACAAAGTTAGGTGGAGCAGCGTTATATATAAAGTATCTGCTGAGTTGTGGTCTTGGAAATTTACCGACATCGTTTCAAACCTCTCATACGAAGGCCTTAAACATGTGTTTTTGGATCGAGTGGGCATATATAGGAAGTGCATTGCAACTGGGGATGAATATTTTAAATGAGAATGAATATTAGCAGAAAAACTAATTAAACATGGTTAAACTACAGTCTGTTGACAGATGACACTACTTAGTGCTAGAAATTTCCAAAACTGCGGCTTAGCACAATTTTTAATAAAAAACGCCACTCCACCTAATGCAATCATTGAAAATACGAATTGACTCTGTGTCACTACCAATGAACCAATTTACATGAAACTCAGATAGTCTCATGCAAACTTACTACCCTGTCGTATGTAAAAGTTTGAGCATTCAACTCCTCTTATTATAAAATCTAGAGCCAACGGTAAGAAACATTTTGATCGGCCCTTGTATTGCAGTATCTTTACATCCATCAGTATGGTTTGACATAATCAAACAATTCTGTTTATTACCCTTTCTCTGATCATGTCATGCCATCTTTTGGAGTAAAACCCGTCTGCGCCATTTTCAATAACTTCATATTTGATCAGAACTGGGTTCCAAGTTCCAACAGAATTCCTAAAAATTCATGAATGAATAGAAATTTTTAATAGTATTAAGACTATGCCAGATATTTTTTAGAATATTTTACTTAAATGTTGTAAAAAAAGTTATAATAGAAAAACCATCTTTTGGAGTAAAACCCGTCTGCGCCGTTTTCAATAACTTCATATTTGATCAGAACTGGGTTCCAAGTTCCAACAGAATTCCTAAAAATTCATGAATGAAATAGCCATTGCAGAGAGTGCTTTAATCAAAGTAGATCTCGATAAATTGTGCTATATTATTGCTATTTCTAAGTAAAATGGCATCCTTCGGTACGCCCTCCAAAAATTATTCAATGGGACCTAAAGTCAGGATCTATTTATTTATGTGTTTGTATATGATTGGATTTTACATTTAGGAGATAAACACACAAATTGATACCAGTGTTAAACAGATGGATGAAAAGTTTGTTCAAACTCTTATGGAAGTCCAGACGAATATGGATGATGAAGATAATGACTCAACAGAAAAAGCTATGAAAGAGCTCCTGAACAGACATCTGAAGCAAGCAGATGAATTACGTGACAGGAAAGAAGAAGAGCGAAATAGACAGAAGGAAAATCTGATGAAAATATTGAAAGCAAAAAAAGAACGGATGATGGAGAAAAATAGAAAGGTACAACACATAACATGTACACAGTGGCAAATATGTTTGTTTTTTGCATACACGCACATTTTTATTTGATAGAGAGTTACCAATGATTAATATCATTCTCAGTCAATAATACATATATCCCTAGGAAATCAATCCATATTCAATCTTAAATTAAGAAATATAGACTGAAGAGCAGGGGAAATATTGTCGAATACACCCCGCAGGGCTAGGCACAAATGTCTTCTGTATCCCGAACGACTGAAGGGAGTGAGGGGTTTGAAAGCTTTTGTGCCTAGCCCTAAGGGGTGTATTCAACGATATTACCCCTGCTCTGAGGTCCATATAACGATTGAACATGAAAAGTCACCAAAATGTTTCGAATATTCATTATGGTCCACCATTACTACGACCCGCCGTTATGACGTCACACATTACACGTATTACCAGGGGTATTCATCGCGAATATACCCCAGATGAAATGTTGAGTTTGTTTTCAGTTTATAGAAGGTGTGAATACAGTCATGTTCGAATAACCAAGAATACATGTTTATTGAAAATGCCTGCAGGATGGTACATCAAGCAACAACAATGATACAGAACCTGACAATGAAGTCGATTCAGATGCTGTTTTTAAAGAGGAAGTTGAGAAGGATCCCAATGTGAAGCTTGCTAACCAGGAGTTGAAGCAGGTAACAGTCAACTCATAGTCATTATTTAGTATTTTTATGTAGACATTAAATCAATCTTGCATTTCATTTGGATATTAGTACATCAACTTTGTGCAAACTGTGTGGATTCTTTTTTTTATTTTGGTACACTGGAGTGGAGTATTTAACTTTAGAATTTGGTGTAATGTACAGCGACTTTAAATTAGCCATAAAATAACTAGGTGTTGATGTATTTGGATTTCAGGAGCTGGAAGAAATGGAAACAGACCTTTTCAAGGAGTTGAAGTTTAGACAACTTGACAACAACCTGGATGTAAGTGAAATGAACGAACTATTAGAGAGGTACCGCAGAGAGCAACAACGAATGAGAGAGAGGAAGGAAGCTGAGATGAAGAGGCATAAAGATAATGTGCTGCAGAAACTAAAGGAAAGACAGAAACAGAAAGAGGTACTGTTGTATTGATATTTTGTAGAAAAATCCTATGTAATGGTTTTAAAATGAATGGATATCTTTTTGTGCCATTTTGTAATGTAAGGTTGTACAAGGTGTTTTGTAAATGTAAATAAAACAGCAACAGTGGCTGTCTCTTATGGCAAACATTAAACATAGCAAATTTTGGTGACAAAGATAAAGGCTGAAAACAATGGATACTGTAGTTTTTCCTATGGAAAAATTACATTGGATATGTTTTTTCTTCTTTTTATAATATTTCAACGATGTTTCCCATTTTAGAAGTTACATGTACTGACAGAAATGATGAAAGAAATGATGTAGAAATAAGTGTCAGGTTGGCACCCTAAATCATTTGTTTTTTGAGAGTTGGATTGATGTCTTTATTTTTCGATACCTTTATGTCAAAGAAAACATATAATACTAATCAATATGTAGTATCTATGGTCAAAATATGGTCATGGTCAAAGATGTAATTGTCTCAAATCGTTTACCTTTTTTATTTGCCATACCATACTCATCTTTTGCAACTAAAACACTCAAATTTTCTTAAATATCATGAATCTCAAACCTAGCATATTGAATGGGTTCTTCACTATTTGAAGATAAAAGCAATACATCAAACTTCAGATGACATCATACAAGCCACACCAAAACAACAATAAAATAACAATAGGTTGTTCAATTATTGCTTCAATTTATTCTTTATCATTCTTAAATTATGCTGCTTAAAGCAACATTTTTGAATTATCAACTTCAAGAACAACTTGTAATTGAATGTTATATTTTCTTCTATTCCTCACTAATAACATTCTACTTCTATTCAGATAAAATTACAATGAGCTATATGCTCGTAAATAACCTTGTCATAGTGAACTATTATTTGATTTGATTTATAATATGAGTGGCAATGTGATAAAGATATCACCATTCATAATATAGGGTGTCTCAAAAAAATGTACCCAAAAGTATATCAACACCATAGACAAACCAATCAATATTTTCAGATATTTTTTGCATGGTCTTGTAGATAAAAGATGAACGTTTTTTCCCCTATACACAGTTTTTAATTCAGTTTTTGATACTTTAACCCGTTACCTTTTACACCACATATCCAATGTAACCTCATAATTCGATGACAGTCTGCATCCTTACTACTACATTGTTCATACCATTTGATATTTCTGGTGGAATGTTTTGATTTCTGTTCGGATGCTGGTCTTCAGTTGTTCTAGGTCTCTTAGTTTGGGTTTAGCATAAAAATGGTCCTTCAAATAGCCCCCTTATACAGAGAGGTCAGAGGTTCAAGAAACTGCATTGGTTGGGATTCTAGTGTAGCTTTTGTTGTGTGTATCAATTTGAGACCTCTGTGTTTTCATTTGGATATAATTTGGTCTCCAGGCAAGCCTGACTAACTCCTTGGTAAGGTAAGGTAACTCCTTGTCGATAATTGACCTGATTATCTGTGTTTGATCTGCCATCGTCATCCTCAAACCTCTTTCTCTGTGGCTATTTGAAGGAGTGTTTTAATGCTCATTCCAAGCAAAAAGACCTAGAACAACTTAAGGGCAACATCCAAAGAGAAATCCAAAACATTCCACTGGAATTATTATCAAATGTGATGAACAATGTAGCAGTAAGGATACAGAATGTCATCGAAATATGAGATTAGATCGATTATGTGGTGTAAAAGGTAAAGGGTTAAAGCATCAAAAAGACAAGACTGAAATAAAAATGGTGTATTGGGGAGAAAACTTTTCATGTTTTGGCTATATGACCATGCAAAAAATGTCTGAAAATATTGATCGGTTTATCTGTGCTCTTGATATACTTTTGGGTACATTTTTTGAGACACCCTGTATATCAATTACAAAGTAAATAAAAAATGTCATGACTGCAATATTATACAATATAGAAGTTTCAAAGTTAGAAAAAAGGATAGCATGACCTCTAAGATAATGCCTTGTTTTTATTGCAAACAAAGGAGCAATGACCCCAACAACAGATAATAAATATCATCATCAATTCATAATTGACAAGACAATGGGAACTATGTAATTTGCTCTCTCTGAAGTAGAATCTTATCAGTTATGACCGCTTAGACAATGCCTGACATTAGCTCATTTTTGAGAGTAAGTAAATATGAAAATACACAATTGCTGACAACTTTCATACCAGTTATCAATCAGATTTGGTCTAAATTCAAAAGGTTAATATCATCTAGGTATAGGACCTTGGTTCAAGAATTACACATGGTTGTATTCTCTGTAGTATTTTATTGTGATTTGTAAATTTTTGTCTGGTGTTCAAATGCTTTATATGGTTGTTAGTGTCCCTAGTTATGTCATCAAGTGGTGACATATTGTTATAGTCTCCAACTTTTTTGTGGTGGCCGTTGGTGATCGGTGTCTGTAACAATTGGCAGATTTGTAACAATTTGCATGTTAATGCCTTGTTTTGCCTTAATGTCATTTGTAGTATTTTGGAATTTAGCAACCTATATCATTTAAAATGGTTCCCTTTATAAAACCTTGTCAGTTGAAGGAATAAGTACATTGAGTATCTATATTTCACTAACCCCCTGCCCCAATGTTTGAAAATTAATAAATGATGCCACAATAAAGATGGTACAAAGCAGTTTCACTTACTACTAACTTAGATGTAACTTTAAATCCAAGTAAGGGCTTAGAGACAGCACTTATTATGGATACATAACACACATGCTTACGGGTTGGAAATTATATTCTAGTATTTATATCAGGAATATTTTTATTTCAAGGAGTTGGATAAACAGTTATATAGAGAGATCCATGAGAAGCAGAAGACGGAGCAACTTACAGAAGCTGACCTAAAGGCAATCATAGACCAACATTTAAAACAAACATCCAGACTGGAGAAAATACAGGAATCTGAAAAAGATCGTCAGAGCCGTAAACTTCAAGAGAAATTAAACAAGAAGAAAATAATTGATGAAGAGAAAGAGAGAAAGAAAAGAGAAAGGGAGAGACTTGAGATGCAAGCTCAAGAGGAAGCCGAGAGAAGGAAGTTTGAGGTAAAATTATTTGGATCATTTGGATAGGATTTAAATCTGTGTTTTCAAATCTAAAATCCATATGTAAATTTTACATTTTTGGAGGCATTTTCTTGTACATCTGTAGTTTGAACTCTGGAAATGCTTTAAGCAGGTTTGAAAGATTCTTTAAAGTGAAGAGTACGACATGTACATGTAAATGTAAGATTTAAATCGTCAATCTTTAAATTAAATTAATTTTGCTTCACCATTTTAATTTTTACTTTCTGTGCATTGTTTCTTCAATTCCATACTTTATTTATTTGTTAACTTCACAACACTAGCCTATACTTCTACCACAAAGAATTTCCATTTAAACCATTACAACTCTCAGTGCAAGCATGGGTTGAAAATAATCTCAAATTGATAACTTGAACATGTTCATTGAATGTTCATGTTTAATCAACTTGTGATTTGTTTGTAGGAAGCTGAGTTGAAAAACCAGAAGATAAACGACGCTGTAAAAGTTGTTAAGGGTTACCATGAAACAGAGAGACAGCTTAAAGTCAATAAAAGAATAGAGAAAGAACGACTTGAGGAAAAATTACGCCGCAAACTAGACACAGGAAAGAAAGTAAGAATTGAGGAATGAAAACTTTTTATAATTTTATTAATCCCCAGAGAATAAAAATATAAATACCCTAAAGTGTGGTGTCATGAGTGTAGATACAGCTTACACTCCCCTCCCCACTCCCCACTCCCCTCCATTAGATTGGCAACTGGAAGTCTATCTTCATTTGATGTCCTGTTAAAGTCTGATAATGTTTGAGCCTTCATTTTGTTTCTTTAATACAATAGTTTTGAAATTTATGACAAAGTTGAAGAAATTTCTGAAACCTCCAAACATAAATAAGGCTTGAACAGAAGGGTATTTCTTTTAATTTGAGGGGGTGTATGCATAAGTTGAGATAAATAGAAAAGTCTTTTATACACATTCATACAATACGTTTTATCTTTCCAGAGACCTTCAAATTTACCTGAGGTGTAGGACTCTTAGATGTTGCTATAACAACCAAACATATAATCATAACAAACGACTGAACTCAGTAGGTTGTTGGGAAAAAAGAGAGTCTAAAATAACCATGACAACAAAAAGCAGTGTATAATATCTGAATATAACCAGGACAAGTAACAACAACAAAACAGTGGCAAATTACATTGAGCTCGTTGCTATAACAATAAAAACAAATATGACAAATTATTGAATCAATATGGAGTTCCTATTGCAAGGAAGCACACAAATCCAAACAATGGATCTCTTGAGAAAATGCAATTACCTTAGCGGCAGTAAATAAAGAACTTATTATAGTCAGGACACATGTTCTAAAATATGAATTGATTTGAATGTTGATTGGACAAGATATAAACAATTTGAAGATGTCTGCTATTATTGTATTTAAGATGTTTTTTATAACTAATAGTGGAAGATTGTGATCCATCTTGATGTTTCATCGAGCAGAGTTAAAAACAATTTACAGTGCTGTATTTTTTAAAATATTGATATATATATTTATATGTAGTAGAAGTGTCTTGCTTCAGAGATTTGTATTCCGTCCATTAGAATAATACACAACTTGTATTGTTATGTTAAAGATATCTTAAACTTTATTTTTTGATTTTCTTAACACTTTCCAGTATTTATCAGGATAGGCACTTAAGTAATTATAAGGGCCTAGATTGTATTGAATCTTGAGATATTGTGAAAACTCATCGAAATAATTTCTTCAGGGTATAGAAAGTAGATATATTTGATATATTATACCGGTATTCCATCCATGATTAGAATTATAAATAATGGATATTGTTATGCATAAATGCACCTTGCTCTGTATTGTATTGTTGGTAGAGTTTTCTGTGGATGAATTGAGGCTCTCAAAGAGGACAATTAATCACCCATATTATCATAATAATCCTCTACAAGAGCTTTAATTTGATCACTATGTCATTTTGAGAAAGCGTACTGTAAAACATGTTTTCTTAGTAGATCTTTGATTTGTATGATTATAAATTGTGAATAGCTATGATTTCCTTTAAAGGATTTTAATCCAGGGAATGCTTTTCGGTTTGTGAAAATATACTTTGGTGGTTATTATGTCACCACCAACAAGTCGTGACATATTGTTATGGTATCTGTTTTTTTGACGGCAGTCGGTGGTTGGCAATTGGCGTCTGTAACAATTCTTACAACTTCTAATAATTTAACAAATGCGGACTTCAATAAATAATGGATATTGTTTGCATAAAGACATCTTGCTCTGTATTGTGATGTTTGTAGAGTTTTGTGTGGATGAATTGAAGCTTTCAAAGAGGACAATTAATTACCCATATTATCACAATAATCCTCTACAAGAGCTTTAATTTGATCACTATGTCATTTTGAGAAGTACTGTAAAACATGTTTTCTTAGTAGATCTTTGATTTGTATGATTATAAATTGTGAATAGCTATGATTTCCTTTAAAGGATTTTAATCCAGGGAATGCTTTTCGGTTTGTGAAAATATACTTTGGTGGTTATTATGTCACCACCAACAAGTCGTGACATATTGTTATGGTATCTGTTTTTTTGACGGCAGTCGGTGGTTGGCAATTGGCGTCTGTAACAATTCTTACAACTTCTAATAATTTAACAAATGCGGACTTCAATTTTTTTCAAAATCATCTACAAGTTTGCAGAACTTCAAATGTGACTAAATTTCAAGGTCAAAAAGGAATTTTTTCTAGTCTTTTGTAGTTTTTTCTTTCTCGAGGTCAAAATTTTTGACCTTCTCAAGGTCAAAAAGGTCTTTTTTCATCTTGATTCAAATTGACCAATTTTTTTTCAAAGTCATCTCCAAGTTCAAGTTCAAATCTGACTTACGATTGAACTCATAACATTGTGAGCAACTAGGTGGTGACATTTTGTCATGTTAATGCCTTGTCATTTTTGACTATCCTCCGAGGCTGAATACACGTATGTAAAAATGATATTTTGAAAATAGATAACATGGTAACTTGGATATTGCATTAAAGGCATTTTAGACAAAACAAGTGTTATTTCTTAATATGTGCTTAAGAACTGATTGTGTTAATCTGAGGAACAGGATTTTCTAAAGCAGTTTCCTCCATGGTGCTTAGAGTTTTTTTCTGGTGTAATTTTGATAATTATTCAAGAACAAAATGTGGAATGCAAGTGACTTTGAACTTGAATGTTTTACAGTACTTATATACAGAATATGAAGTCATAGTAATACACTTGAGTATTACATTAAAAAGGTTACTTATTTTTTATGAAACAGGGTATACATTTTTTGGTATGAGGTTATAGTAGAGGTAAAATTTGCTTAATGATGAATTCCGTCCAAATGTTATATTGCTTTTTAACATATTATATATTGGTGTCTAGTGTGAGATAATTGTAGCTCAATGAAATGAAATGTATTCCGTCCAAATGAGCAGTATTACACAGGGAACGTACCAAATTAAGCGTGACAGTTGAATGTGCGGGGTAAGGTACAATACTAGGGTGATGGAAAATTTGAGCAAACTGACGCTTTCATCTTTTCAGAAAGATCTGGTCTAATTTCTAGATAAAAATATACTTTGGTGGTTATTATGTCACCACCAATAAGTCGTGACATATTGTTATGGTATCTGTTTTTGACTGCAGTTGGTGGTTGGCAATTGGCGTCTGTAACAATTCTTACAACTTCTAATAACTTAACAAATGCGGACTTCAATTTTTTCAAAATCATCTACAAGTTTTCAGAAGTTCAAAAGTGACTTTAAATTTCAAGGTCAAAAAGGAATTTTTCTAGTTTTTTGTAGTTTTTTCTTTCTCGAGGTCAAAAGATTTTGACCTTCTCAAGGTCAAAAAGGTCTTTTTTATCTTGATTCAAATTGACCAATTTTTTTTCAAAGTCATCTACAAGTTCAAGTTCAAATCTGACTTACGATTGTGAGCAACTAGGTGGTGACATTTTGTCATGTTAATGCCTTGTCATTTTTGACTATCCTCCGAGGCTGAATACACGTATGTAAAAATGATATTTTGAAAATAGATAACATGGTAACTTGGATATTGCATTAAAGGCATTTTAGACAAAACATGTGTTATTTCTTAATATTTGCTTAAGAACTGATTGTGTTAATCTGAGGAACAGGGTTTTCTAAACCAGTCTCCTTCATGGTGCTTTAGTTTTTTCTGGTGTAATTTTGATAATTATTCAAGAACAAAATGTGGAATGCAAGTGACTTTGAACTTGAATGTTTTACAGTACTTATATACAGAATATGAAGTCATAGTAATACACTTGAGTATTACATTAAAAGGGTTACTTATTTTTATGAAACAGGGTATACATATTTTGGTATGAGATGAGTAGAGGTAAAATTTGCTTAATGATGAATTCCGTCCAAATGTTATATTGTTTTTTTAACATATTATATATTGGTGTCTAGTGTGAGATAATTGTAGCTCAATGAAATGAAATGTATTCCGTCCAAATGAGCAGTATTACACAGGGAACGTACCAAATTAAGCGTGACAGTTGAAAGTGCGGGGTAAGATACAATACTAGGGTGATGGAAAATTTGAGCAAACTGACGCTTTCATCTTTTCAGAAAGATCTGGTCTAATTTCTAGATATTTGTATAAGTGAATGTGTGTAACAACACCTAGACAGTGAATTTCATAGTTACACCAACGCAAACTCCAAATGTAGTATACGATATAACGCGCTGGTAAGATACGACATAACACAAATACTGCATTACCATATACTACATTCCAAGAACCCACAAAACCACAAACTCACATTTCATCACCCTCGTGTTGTACCATACCCCGCTTGCACCATAATACGCTTAATTTGGTACATACCCTGTGGCAAAGTAGCTAAATATTCTAAATTGTTTATGTTAACAAAGCTTTAAATAAATGAATATTGCTAACAACACCTACATATCATACTGTGCTGTTATATTATTCCATCAAATGAAGGTAGGTAGAAACATACTCTACCCTGATCATTCATACGTCTGTATGAGAACTCAAATACTGGCCTTGTATTGGGAGCTGTTGGGAGCTTGTATTGAGCTGGGGACTTTCTTATTTGCTTCAGAAAGCATTTGAAATATGGCAGCTTAAATGCTTCTTTACCGACTAGAGTCTATTTAAAATTATATTACTGAACTGTAAGGTTTGTATTACAATCTCTGGCCAATCGAGATATTCCAAAATGGTCTCCAAATTAAAAATGACCCTCATGTTTTGTAAAGCAAAGACACCCAGTGATAAATATCACAATTGAAGGACATTATGCCCGATAGAGTGAGATACAAACAAGGATGGCTGCCATGTATTTAACCCAAAGCCAAAATCCTGGTCAGATGTTGGCGCTGGTCTGCACTTCCATCTGTGAAAATTTCAAGCTTAACGGCTAAGACGAGACTTATGTAGCGCTCACACAGACAGATGCATAGTCAACCCATTCACACATGCCCTTCAGCAAACGACAATGAAAACATAGCGCTTTGAAAGTGTCTTATGTAGCGCAATACTTATCACTGTGTGTATTGCATGACCCAAGTAAAATAATAACACATTACAATGTAACATTCCAACAAATTTAGTTCACGTGTCTATTTAAATATTTTAAATTTATTTAAAACATTTTCATTATTAAAGGTAATCAAAAATAATCAGCATATATTATATACATATGTACATGTAGTTATAAGGAAAACGACATTATTTAAGAGAATATAAACATTTTTCAGCCATTTTTGCACTTTGAATCTATTATAACTTCACCAATTTATAATATCTCAAAGATCTCTTTAGAGATATTGTATTTGAGATTGTACGGAATAAATTGGTAGGTCAATTGTACATGTTGCTTGTAATTTTGTCACCCCCATAGATCTGATTCTGCCTTTAATTATCAATCATCTATCAATTTTAGTCTGACAATATGATGACATTTTCAGTTCCCAAGGAAAACAATTGTGTTTGCTAAATCAGCTAGCTAAATCAGATGAACGACATGACTTAGTCAGACAACAGACTCGTGAACACAGTCAACCAGTTGAATGTACATATGATGATTGAAAAAGGAATTTTACTCACAATCACTATAAGAAATTTCATTACAAAATTCACACATCTTAATATTAAATAATAGTCAATCATGATAGTTCATAGCTATTTTGCTTATTACCCAATCAACTGATGAAAATTGTCAGATTATTATTGGTTATTTAATATTTTCTGGCCATGCCAATACAAAGAAACATCCTTAAAATTTTCAAATCAATCTCTTAAAAGATTTGCCAAAAAAGTGTAACCAAGATGTAAGGATAACCACCCTCCTCCACTCAGCAACCTGAACACAATAAAGCACGCAAGGAAGTGATAAAAATGAGTTTTTTATATCAAAATAATTAATTAATACTTTTAAAAATCACTCCTGTAGCAGTGACCTGATGAAACTAGTCCTTTTTATTATTCTGAATAAAGCATATACCATTGCATTATTAAAACTAAAATAGTCATCCATTTAGAAGCGCATCACTTGGATAATGTCCTCTCTCCTTGGCAGCTTGGAATTTGCATGAAAACTAGAGGCACAATACATGTACAATAATAATAATAAAAATTTCTTTCATCCTTTCGACACAGCAACACTATGATGGCTTCACTTGTATTTGCTCATCAATGAAGTTAAAGTAGAAGAAGGTAACGTCCCTGGGTGCTTCTGTCTGTGGATAGTGACCTATGCCTCCACCAAGGATAATAATGCTGGGATTTGGAATGGCAACACTGGAAAAAATCCAAAACAGAAAACATAAATGTACACTAGACTGAATTAAATGGAAGGCCCAATAGAATATTATTTCTGTAATTAGGACTTAAGTTTGTCAAAGATAATTCACAAATTGATTGTATTCTTTTCTTATATAGTGCTCAAACAAAATATTTTTAACATCAGGTTTTGAGCAGAACTTGTTCTCCCATTGGGCATATGTATATAAAATAAACAATATCAGGCTAATGGAAGAGATTCAAGAGATTCAAGATTTTATTGTGTTTCAAACCAAACACTTGGTTTCCTCACAAAATCAATTACAAGACATTTACATATAATTATACAGTTAAAAAAAAACAACATGCATTGTTTCACAAATACCATCATACAATCTTTCCTTTTTCAAATAGCTCCCGACGCTGATTAAAAAGTTTATTTATAAAATGTATCAATTCGTTAACAATTTCAAAATCATCAGAAGTCATCAAAAAGTTATATTTTTCTTTATCCGACATATTATCAAATGTGTCAATAAAACTTAGTTTATTAAACACTAATGGTGTTTTGGTAGATATCGGCCAAAGAGATGGATAAACAGAGGCATTCTATATATCCCCAAGATTCCTCATTGGAATAAAATGATGAACATACAGACTGTTGGATAGAGGGCACATGCAATCTCAGTATTTACAGTTCAACTTACTTGTAATATTCTACAAATTCTTGAGGGTTCACTGGATCATCTGGACCATAAATAACATGAACTGAAAATTCAAATCAAACTCTCACAAAGTACCTCTTGGCAGCATGTATCCATATCTAAAAATCTCCCTGTTACATGTGTTTAGCTGGATAGAGTTAGTAAGGTTATGAATTATTTGATTGTTCTCTTACTCTGACATCATGATTTCATGAGTTACAACATATCAAGAACTTTTTATGGCAAAGAACTTCTGGTATAGCCTAACTTAGCCCATTTTACTTTGAAAACTATTGATTCAGTTTTGAAGATGAAAATGCATCATTATAAGTTATTGAATGATTTGAAGTGCAATACAGGATATATTCTGCTCGAGGAATTCCGTATTAGAACGAGACGAAGTCGAGTGCCAATACAGAATATCGAGAGTAAAATATATCCTGTATTGCACTTCAAAATTCTGTAATGTTTTTATTGTGTGATCCTCTGTATTGCTACTGAGAATGTCTGCTCCGCACCAATATTTTCTGTATTGCGACGGAGATGATCAATGGGAACAATCTCAGAAGCAATACAGATTGGTACAGCACAAGAACTGACCAATCAGAAGGCTTCATTTTACACAGCATACTTTAATACTACATGACTTGATGTGACATAATTTAAACTACAAGAGATCAAGAGGAGAATATTACCCAGAATTCATAGAAGGACCTACATGTATCTATGTAAAAAAGACTCTGGAGGTTCACCTTTATATGGGGATAGGTTTATTGAAGAATTTTGTGATATCATGATCTTTAGAGATCCTTACCTGGAACAGACGTAGTCTGCAATACACCAACCCATCTACCACGGTTTTGCCTTCTCTCTGGAATGTATTGTAGCAACCTGCAAGTGGAATATGTCTCTGTACAAAATTGTGACATTAACATCCTGAGTGAGATTGTGGCAGTGATGCGCATTGAATAAAGTAGAACTTTTCCAGAACATGGCAACATCTTTCTTGTGACCCACATTATGCAACTCTCAGCTTACTGGAAGTCATAGCTTAAAACTGGGAATAATTAGTTCCCCAAAGTAATGTATAGCGATGACATCTTGATAGAAATTGGGGCAGTGAAATACATATTGAATAAAGTAGAACTTTTCCAGAACATGGCAACATCTTTCTTGTGACCCACATTATTCAACTCTCAGCTTACTGGAAGTCATAGATTAAAACTGGGAATAATTAGTTCCCCAAAGTAATGGATAGCGATGACATCTTGAGTGAAATTGTGGCAGTAATGCGCATTGAATAAAGGAGAACTTTCCAGAACGTAGCAACATCTTACTTGTGAGCCACATTATTGAAGAATAAAACAACTCAGTATACAAATACAGTGTTAACCCCTTGACCTTATTTATATTCATATTGTATTTGTCTTATCTTACTGTACCTTCTATAATGCCATCAGGTGATAGAAGGGATATATAATGTTATATCTTGTAATGAAATAAATATATCTTTAAACAAAATTACAACATACAACTAACTTGTGATTTATAGCATTTCCATTGTTGTAGCGTATGGCAGCCCAGAAGTCTTGGAATTCTTCTTCAGTTGTCTGAGAATTTTTGCCTAATACCTCACCAAAACTGAAAGCAAAGAAAAAGTCTGAATAATCGATGTCAATTGTCCAGGGGTGGACGCAGTTTTTTTGTTTCAAGGTTGTGCAACTATTGAATTGGGGTCCAGTATGTGTCAAACATGTTTGAAAAAATAAATGTCCACAAAGACTCCATGTTGGATAAAAGTGTACAGAATATGTTTCACAAAAAAGTACATTTTTGAGCATGTGTGGGTTCAATGATTTAACAATAGTTTAATTCATGGTCATGTGCTATTTAATATAAACTATATAAAACAGTTAATAAAAACTAGTTTCTAAGACATTAATGTGCAAGAGATATTCCCAAACGGTAATGTGGCATGCTCGCATTAATTTACAGGTAAATATCAACAAAATCGCTCCAATTATTAAATAACAAAACTGTATTAAGTGGCTTAAGCATTTTTCAATACTGCCACCATATTTATTTTGGGCCAATGGTATGTGAATTATTGCCCAGCCAGATGGAAGAATATAATAAACAAATTAGATTCCAATTTTCCATCTATAGAAGTGTTCTGATGTTTGAAGAACACAATAGAATTTTTTTATAACCCTTCAATGTAAACAAAAGTAAATATTAACAAAACAACTTCGATAAACAAGTCGCATGTGTACTAGGGGTCAGATGGTAAACCGAAACTGCTCCGACCATCATTTGCCTTGATGTTTCATTCGGTTCTGAAAAATCGCTCCATTAGTTTTTTAAACATAACGTTAATTAGAGGAAAATTACAGTTTGTGAACGCATTTTCCCTAGAAAAAAATGTCTGCTGCGGACATTGAGAATAACACCGATGGATGTGACAAATATTAACTTCCCAGTATCAAATTCTGCTGACACATGTATCAATTCAACTGTTTATATTATCTTCTACTCTCTTTTATTGAATTAAAAGATGAACTTCGGAACAAAACAAAATTTCAACTATCATTATTATGTATTTTAAAGTTTTTAGAGAAATAAATTAATGTCTAGTCCCCCTATCCACCACCCACTTGTTTCTTTTAATCGAATGCGGCTACTAATGTTTAAATGCAGTCGCTACCTGTATTTGTATTTTGAAATGATTACTTTAAATGAATAAAACTGAATAAAAAGTGTTAAGTACTATTTTGTGAAATTTCAAGACATAGCCTGACCATGAGATTAAATACTAGTACATGGTATTCATAGTTTAATTTTGTTTCACATTATTCACTTATGATCAAAGCAACCAAAACAGAAACAAAGGATTCAAAAACCAAACTGAAACGTTAATTGAAACCATCAGACCCCTAATCTATACTCAATACCCTGCAATTTAATTTATATGTGTAAATAGGGTGAAGTTTTAGCTCTGAAAGTCCAAGTACCTTCTCTTGAATGCTCTGTAGAACATAAGGCGACCTAGGACTGCTCCAACTCCTGGTATAAGTAGAGCCTGAAACAAAACAATATAGACATATTTTCCATGCTGCCAGTTGCAAAAACATTCAGAAAATTCAAAATAAAGTTTAAGAAATAATTTTCTTTCAATTAAATTAAATTAAAAGGAGATTCAGGTTAATGTATAAATCAGATTTTTTGGGGTGAATTTGTCCCTTTTATTAAGTACTAATTGATATTTTGTTTCCAAAGCAACATACTGCACTGTCTGTTAGAGTAGATGTAAGAGACTAAGTGCACAATCACTAGCAGTACTGCCACAACACTCTCAAGGCTTAATACATACAACTATACAAGTGGGGATCTGAGGCACTGTGTTCAGGGTGTTCAAGGAACAAATTCTACCGTCTTAGGGTGTTCAAGGGGATTGGCTCTGAATTAGGATGTGTGTTGTAACTTCGTCAGATTATACTGGTCTTACCTGCCACAAAGAGCGAGAATATCAAAACTCGACCCAAAAATGAAGATCTGTTAATTTGTTCCTTTTCATGAACACCCTGACCAAAATGCCCCAGATCGCCAAAGGGTACACAAGGGTGAATACTGTACAGAAGCACAAATCTAGCCACAGCAAAGTTACTTAAGATGGAAATGATAGAAGGTACTAAGAATCGATATGAGAGAGGAATATTATATTGGTTCCTTGATTCAGATTATACAATATGTAATCACCTTTTGAATCAATCTGGGATGATGGGTGTCAGGAAAAATACCTACAGAGTAAAAAGAGTAAAAAGCAAATACACACAACCAAGAAAGCTAGAAAGTTAGAATATTTGGTACAATCACAAAATGCATTTATTTTATGCATTGTGATCTTTATTAATGTTACTGTGTATTATATGTTTGTTTCATCTTTGTTCACTAAGGGGTGGCATAAAAAGTTCGATGTCGGATCGGAAACTAAATAAATCTAGTTTTGACTCTGACCCCCCCCCCCCTCCCCAAAAACTAAATACAATGAAAGTTGATCGCTGACTTCCGGTTCGAGAATTTGAAAAATTATTGCTAAACACGATTTAGTTTTTGTTAATTCCTATCATAATTTGCGGCTTTTAACCCTTTCCCGACGTGAATATAAGAGGAAAATGTTGTCCCCAGTGACGGATAAGTAAGAGTGTTTTTTAGGGGAAAACTGTAAAATACCTATGCCCTGGGACCTATACCTTGGATTTCATCACTGATATACAATTTTTAGTAAGGATTATCACATAAGAACAACTTGTCAAAATTTGGTGTAAAAATACTGAATAGAACTGGAGATATTGTCATTTCATTGATGTATATAAATAAAAATAATGGTGCCAAAAGGAGCCTATCGTCCTGAAAGGTATTACATAATAGGGCTCCATATGGAGCCTATCGTCGTGAAAGGGTTAATAACTATTGATAGAATAGAATCCATTGGAATGATCTTGATGAAGAAAGCATCAGGTAAAATCTTTATTTTAAAACCATTCCAAGGCATTCAGAGTCGAAAATGCCAAAAATTTGAAATGTTGAAATTTGTCGGATAGCAAACTGAAATGGGTTTGAACCCCCTCCCCCCTAACTAGATTTATTTAGTTTCCTATCTGACATCGAACTTTTGATGCCTCCCCTAACCTCTCATCAGACATCTGAACAGAGTGTGCAAAGATGTTTGATTACAGAAATTATAACTAGACATGTAAATTGAACAAGTTCAATTTAAGACTCCAGATTTAATTCTTTTTTTAAGCTGAGTCATCCAGAATACTTGTAAGCTGAGTCATCCAGAATAAGCTGATCGAGTCAGCTAGAATTTAGACATTTAGACAACTCTCCATTTTTTATCTTCGACTCCATTGGCTTAACATGGGGATATCATCATATCGATAACATCAGATCGATTTTTCTCGAAATTTCAAAACGCCATAACTTTCAAACCGGAAGTCGGATCTAAATTTGATTTAAAGATTCGGATTCCTGACAAAATTCTACCCCTTATTCATAACTCATACGTTAAATTTGGCTGATTTTTTAATTTGACCTACTTTTTGGACACGCCATAACTTTGGAACCGGAAGTCGGATCGAAATTTGGTTTGCAGATTCGGATTCCTGAGAAAATTCTACTCTTAATTCATAACTCATATGTAAAATTTGGAGAATTTTTTATTTTGACCTACTTTTCGGACACCATATCTCAAAAGTGGGTCAAAATACTCTCTGACGGCAAAAGGCTAACACTATTAGCCCACTTTTTGCTACCTTTATACAAAATTTTGAAGCAAATCCTAAAAGTGTAGTGCCAGAATCACAAAAATAAGGAAATACTATGTATTTGACCTAGATTTTGACCTAGGGATTTTGGTGTCCAAATTTTAAAGCTAGATAGCCTTCGAGGTCCCCTTCTTTTATAGACTTTCAGAATCTTAAGCTGTACTCAGTCTTTATCTGGTATTTTACACTTCAAAAAAATCTTTTTTCTCATTGACATAACATGGGGCACCAAAATTAGAGATTTTTGAGCTTTCAAAACGCCATAACTTCCCAACGAAAAGTTGGATTGAAATTTGGTTTGCAGATTCGGATTCCTGAGAAAATTCTACCCTTAATTCATAGCTCATATGCTAAATTTGGAGAACTTTTTATTTTGACCTACTTTTCGGACACCATATCTCAAAAGTGGGTCAAAATACTTTCTGACGGCAAAAGGCTAACACTATAAGCACACTCTTTGCTACCTGTATACAAAATTTTGAAGCAAATTATTAAAGTGTAGTGTCAGAATCGTAAAAATAAGGAAAAACTATGAATTTGACCTAGATTTTGACCTAGGCATTTTGGTGTCCAAATTTTGAAGCTAGGTAGCTTTTGAGGTCCCCTTCTTTTATAGGCATTCATTATGTTAAGCTGTGCCCAGTCTATATCTTGTATTTTACACTTCGAAAAAGCCTTTTTTCCCATTGACTTAACATAGGCACCAAATTTAGCGATTTTTGAGATTTCAAAACGCTATAACTCCCGAACCGGAAGTCGGATCGAAATTTTGTTTGCAGATTCGGATTCCTGAGATAATTCCACACTCATTTGATAATTCACACGTTGAATTTGGAGAACTTTTTATGTTCTGACCTACTTTTCGGACGCCATATCTCAAAATCGGTAAGAGTAATCAAAAAACGATTTGCCTTAGGGAATTAGCTTTTTTTCTAAGGAACACGATGAAAAAAACCCGGAGCGAAAATACCCAAGGGCGACTGAGAAAACTTGTAAAATAGCGAAAAGTGACGATTTGACCCAGTTCTTGACCATTGACCTAGATAAACATTTGACCTAATTTCCCAGAAACTAGAACTCATTACCTAGTTGACTATGTTAGCAGATTTAAGTAAGTCCCTCTAGTTGCTGAGAAAACGCGGAAAGAAAGAATAATAATAACTAGATTTTGGAAATTGAACGAGTTCAATTTCAGACTCCAGATCTAGACTTTTTTTTAGCCGAGTCATCCAGAATAAGCCAAGTCATCCAAAATAAGCTAAGTCATCCAGCAAAAGATGGATGGATGAAAAAGGAAGGAAGGATAGGATAGAATAGGAAGGAACGATAGGATAGACTAGGAAAGAAGGATAGAATAGAATAGGAAGAAGGGATAGAATAGGAAGGATAGGAAGGAGAGGATACGAAGCAAGGGTAGATAGGAAGGATAGGATAGGATCAGAAAGGAAGGATGGATGCATTTTTCAATATTTTCTTCTCTACTCTTGACTTTCTATCAGGATACCATCAGATCAATTTTTCTTGAAATTTCAAAACGCCATAACTTCCGAACCGGAAGTCGGATCGAAATTTGATTTGCAGATTCGGATTCCTGACAAAATTCTACCCCTAATTCATAACTCATACGTTAAATTTGGCGAATTTTTATTTTGACCTACTTTTCGGACACGCCATTACTTCGGAACCGGAAGTCGAATCGAAATTTGGTTTGCAGATTCGGATTCCTGAGAAAATTCTATTCTTAATTCATAACTCAAACGTCAAATTTTGAGAATTTTTTATTTTGACCTACTTTTCGGACACCATATCTCAAAAGTGGGGCAAAATACTTTCTGACGGCAAAAGGCTAACACTATTAGCACACTCTTGGCTACATGTATACAAAATTTTGAAAAGTATAATTAATCTGTAGTGTCAGAATCGCAAAAATAAGGAAAAACTTTGAATTTGACCTAGATTTTGACCTAGGCATTTTGGTGTCCAAATTTTAAAGCTAGATGGCTTTTGAGATCCCATTCTTTTAAAAGCTTTCATTATATTTAGCTGAACTCAGTCTATATTTCGTATTTTTCACTTCAATAAAATCTTTTTTCCCATTGACTTAACATGGGCTCCAAATTTAGCGATTTTTGAGCTTTCAAAACGCCATAACTTCAGAACCGGAAGTCTGATCCAAATTTTGTTTTCAGATTTGGAATCCTGAGAAGATTTCCTATAAGACTAATATCCTGGACATTTGATTCGGAGAACTTTTGTTTGGACCTTTTTTTCGGACACTGATATCTCGAAATCGGTTTGAGATATCAAAAAACTAAATCGACCCTAGCTTTCCTACTTTTTTATAAGGAACACAATGAAAAAAACCCGGATCGAAAATATTGAAGGACGACCGAGAAAATCGAAAAAAGTGACAAAGTACTGGATTTGACCTAGTTCTCGACCTTTGACCTAGATAAAAATTTGACCCAATTTCCGAGGAACTAGATTCTGGACCTAAATTGACCAAATGACTGACTTTACTGAAAACCTTACGGTTATTGAGAAAACTTGCTCGGAATAATAATAATAAGAAGAAGAAGAAGAAAAAGAATAATAAGAAAACTGACGAAAACAATAGACTCCAGATTTCATCTGGAGTCTAATAATAATAAGAAAACTGGCAAAAGCAATAGACTCCAGATTTTCAATCTGGAGTCTAACTACTTTTTTAGCAATTTTGGGACTATACTGTAATATAGCAGTAACATTTCAGCAATGTAAAGTGTAGACATAGTTTTGTTTATTATTGGAACTAAGGTATTTATTCCATGTAATTCAACAAGTATTGACTTACTTTTTGACCTATTCTAGGAAAGTTGGTCTCAGGAAATATACCTTTGAAGAAGACATTTACAAATCTCTGTTTACAATGTATTCAATAAATATTTACAAACTTGACCTATACATAGGGGTTTGTGTAAAAAACCGGGTGACTGGGTAACTGGGTACCCGGTCGACCGGGTACCTAACGTTCCTAGCAGGGTTACCAACTTTCTAAGTTCCACATTTCCCTCGATATATAGTAGCGAATTGACTTGACAGACGTATTTGTGAGTTAAGGAAACGTTACAAAGATGTAAATATGTTCTCACTAAATCGGTTCATTACCGACGTTATTCTAACATTAAAAGTTAACGTTGTCAAAACGTTCTTACGATGTGAAATAACCTCAAAACGTGACGTCAAAAATAACGAACATGTATCGTCCAGATCCAACGTTATAAATAAAAAAAAATTCCTAACCCTGCTAGGAACGTTAAGTATCCGGTCACCCGGTTTTTTACACAAACCCTATAATACATAGTTTTACATTTAAACAAGAAAATATTTATTCTTTTTTGTAAAATAACTGAATCATAAATAAAGCCAGATTCATGCAGACTGGTTGCAATCATTGAATTCTGCAATCATTGAATTTACATTGAAGATTCAAGAGTCCTGTGATTTTATTCTAGCAGGATCTTCAATGTGTATATGACCAGAGCGAGGTATATGTTTTAAATATAATTGAATATGGATGCATACCACCATTAAGCAGGCAAACTGTTTCAATGTGTAGTCCCTGGGAGCTGCCTGATGCCTTCCTATCCTCAAACCTTTAATAGGATTAAAATAAAATAAAAATTGGTTATACAATATTAATGGATGTATCATGTTGTGCAATATTAACATGATCAAAACAAGAAATGGGTAAATTTTAACCATTCTGAGCACTTTTCGAGTGATTCTGAGCAAAAGTTGTCAAAAGTGAATCCCCTTTGACAAAAGCTGACTATGGGCCTGCAGGCATTCTTTGTTTGTTTATCAGAAAACTAGTATGTTATACATTTCTTTTTACCTAGAATATCAGAGCATTTTTTGTTTTTTTACTTGTTTTTGCCACTTTACAATATATAATATACAATACAATGTTTGATGTCATTTTGATGATATTAGTAAAGAAAGACCAATTACACACATTTTAATACATAACTAATATACTGTAGTATAAACTGAACAAAGTCAGTTAGAGTCATACATGTATAACTAATAGGGTTACAGTCATTTCTGCAAGGAATTCTTTGACTTATATATTTTTCACTCTGGCTTTTCAAGATGTAGAATTAATTGTTTTTCCACTCACCTTGCAAGGAGTTCTTGAGCCACAGTATCTCCATAATCATGTGCTAAGACATGAACTTTAGTTACACCAAGCTTATTTAGCAGAGCCTCAATGATATCAGCCTGCTCCATTATACTGTAATCATGGTCAACCTACAATACAAGGGTGTTCAAAATTTGTGTGGCCACTGAACTCACAGAGATTTGGTACAATTAGAGGGATGGGAAATTTAAATAACTTATGTTTTTTGGAAATCTAGATGTTTCAATTCGTTTAAGCTCCATGTCTATGTAATGTGTGATATTGTAAACAAGGCATAACATGACAAAATGTCACCACCTAGTTGTAGTTGCTCACAATATTATAATTTCAATCTGAAGTCAGATTTGAATTTCTGAGAACTTGTAGATGATTTTGAAAAATAAAAATTGGTCAATTTGAAGCAAGTTGAAAAAAGACCTTTTTAGACCCTCAGAATGTCATCGAAGGTGAAATCTCAAATCTAAAGGCAGATTTTAACTTTTGAGAACTTGTAGATGATTTTGAAAAAATTGTCAATTTAAAGCAAGTTAAAAAATACCTTTTTGACCTTTTTTGACCTTAAGAAGGTCATTGAAGGTCAAATATCAAGTCTAAAGTCACATTTGAACTTCTGATAACTTGTAGGTGATTTTGCAAAAAGAATTTGGTCAATTTGAAGCAAGTTGAAAAAATGCCTTTTTGACCTTTAACCTTTTTGGCCTTGAAAATGTCATTGAAGGTCAAATCTTAAATATCAAGTCAGTCAACTGCTAAAAACTTGTAGATGATTTTGAAAAAAATTGAAGTCAGTCTAAACAGTATTTGTTAGTTATTGGAAGTTTTAAGAATTTGTTACAGATGCCAACCGTCAACCACTGATTGCCAACCGCCAATTGCTGCCACAATAAAACAGAGACCATAACAATTTGTCACCACTTATTGGTGGTGACATAATTACAATATACTGTACAGCAATTGAAAATGTTAATGATATTGTAACAATAACAAGAATATGAATACAACATTGTTGATGGATATGGAGAACTAGATTTATAAAGTATAGGGTGTCCTCTGAATTGTAAATGTATGAACACCCTGTATAATCATTCTTACTGGTTTATCACTGAATCCATATCCTATGAAGTCCATTGCTATAACACGTCCAAACTTTTCCGTTAATTCTGGGAACATCTACAAACATACAGGTGGCGTTCATGTTAAATTGTTACTTGACAAAATCAAGATTGATTGTTTTGTAAGAGGAATGGGGGGGGGGCTCCTGAGTCACTACGAAAAACAATTGCTATTTTGACCGAGCCCTAGCACTCCATGCAGATAGATCAACTGAAATTACATTTGTATGATGTGATACTCGGCATTCACCAGGAAAATTGAAATAATTTGTCACCCGTGAAGCAAATTAATTTTTTAGTGCTTTATAAATGGTGAATGACAGCCAAATTAAGTTTTATAAGTATGAGAATAGCATGATGTCTTGATATTTCAAGGTAACGTCATTTGAAAAAGGTGATGGCAGTGATTGAAAAAACAATGTTAAGATAAACCCGCAACAAAATATTTGTAGATTTCTTTGAAGAACTAAAAAACATACATCACATATCGAATTTTCCGAAACACAAAAAAAACATGAATAAATTGTAAGGCCTGCAGGTCCAATTCCCCCTGGTAGCATTAACATTGGTCTCATATATGTCACACAATTAATATTTGAAACGCAACTTTTATTCGAACTTATGATCAGACATTAGTATGATACTAGTATTACTTTATAACCTTGAAGTACACATCATACTTGTGTCCGATCAGAAGTTCGAATAATAGTTGTGTTTCAAATATTAATTGTATGACATACACAAGACCATGAATGTTAATGCTACCAGGGGGAATCGGACCTTCAGGCCTTACTATTTATATATGTTTTTTTCAGTTTTGAACAATTCGATATGTGTTGTATATTTCTTAGTTTTTCAAAGAATTTTACAAATATTTCGTTGAGGTTTTATCTTTACATTACCCTTTGCATTCGTTTGACTTCACTTCTTAAAATAGATCTTCGTCTTCACTCTTTCAAACTAAAATAAACCTGTGAACTCACCGCGCCAATCAGTGTTCGTCGGCCAAATTTGACCGACGTTCTATATATGGGCATTCCTTCTGACGTCATCGTTGAGCCCGGAATTGACCAATGACATACGCATATTTAATTAGAACGCATTTGGCGTATGTTTCTTCAAGCTCGCTGATTGGTGGAAGAAAGGTCAGCACGTAGGTCAGAAGTGATTTACTACCCAAACTGTCACCGGTACCCGTCCTGGGGGCGGGGCTACTTAACTGTAATATGGTCTCTACTAGGCAGAGTGTAGTTTAACTAGACTCTGCACGCAGGGTATCTTTACATCGTAATTTCAATCACCGCCATCAGTATTGAAACGAGTTACCTTGAAATATCAAGACGTCAAACTATTTGCATACTTATAGAACTCAATGTGACTGTCATTCACCATTTATAAAGCAGTAAAAAATCAATTTGCTTCATGGGTGGAAATTTTTTTTCAATTTCTGGGTAAATGTCGAGTCTTGCATCATACAAATGTAATTTTAGGCGATCTGTCTGCATGGGGTGCCTAGATTGTACTCAATTTGCCACTAAAGCTGAATGAGAATCTTTGCCTCAAGCTGTTACAAGTAATGACACAAGATGATTAGATCTCTAAAGTTGACAGACCAATCAATCCATTTATATAATTCTACTACTGCTGCCCATCTTTGTTCACTCGACTCCCGTCGGTCGAACGTAGAGAAGACCGGAGCGTGCGAAGATGACTGCTGCCTGAAAGCTATGATTAAAACCTCACCTTATGCCAATCATAGCCAGATGTTGGAAAACCGTGTAGACACACAAGTGGGGATAAATTCTTAGTCACTGGCGATGTTTCTTCTGAAGAAATAGATGATAATTCTTATGTATGACAATGTACATGATTGTGCATCTTAAAGCAAACACCATAAAGATAAACCATAAAGATTAACTGCCAAATTATATCAACTTAACTGGTTCTCCATAGCATGTCACCTCAAATCTCTTTAAAAATTCATGATTTAATTTGTTCAATATAAAAATATTTGAAACAAAGCAGTATATAAGGATGACCGATAAATTAACCAAACTCATAACCCACAAATCCATAGCACCATGGACTAAAGTGCTGTATTATTATGTTTTATTCTTTATTTTTGCCAAAATAGGTGTCTATTTAAGAAATATAGACCGAAAAGCAGGGGTTATATCGTCGAATACACCCCGCAGGGCTAGGCACAAACGTTCGGTCGTTCGGGTTCGAAAGCTTTTGTGCCTAGCCCCAAGGGGTGTATTCGACGATATTACCCCTGCTCTGAGGTCTATATTACGATTAGAACATGAAAACTCACCAAATTCATCATGGTCCGCCATTACTACGACCCAGCGTTATGACGTCACACATTACACGTATTAACTGGGTTATTGATCTCGAATATAACCCAACTGAGAATTTAGAAACCAGAAATGTACATTTTAATAGAAAAATTTCCTTGTTTCCTAATCAGGGGAATTGATTTGTGAATATCCCGGCAGAAGAATTGATTTCAAGTAATAATCATATTTTGAAACCGGAACTCACAAACTACATACTTGCCGAATATTTTGTTGTGATTTGAAGGATGAAAGCACCCTATTTTCGCTTCCAGAGTTCCTCCCCAGTGCTATACATGACTTGTACAAAGTACAGGTTTGCGTGTACATATTCTAAATAACTTATATCGAAAGCTCTCTAATAATATTATATACCTCTATAAAATATCTTAATTTCTTTGTAATCAAAGTAATTCCCATTCTGTTTCCAACGTGCCAGGGATGGTGATAATTCTGGTGCTGGGTAATTCAAATACACGGCAGCAATAAAAGCAGCAACTGTTCCTACAAATATGTTGGTTCCAGAGAAAAAAGCCATCTTGGATAGCGCCTACTGAAACCAGAACAACCCACCTGAAATGACAAGTACTAAATGTATTTTTAAAATGTGGCGTAGAGGATGCTTTTACCTATTGTCACTCATAAGTTGGCAACGGCTGGACATATTTGTTGATTTTTTATGTAGTTTAATTGTATAATATGTGTGTCAGTCTAAACAGTATTTGTTAAGTTATTGGAAGTTGTAAGAATTTGTTACAGACGCCGATCGCCAACCGCCGTCTAAAAAAAAATGGAGACCATAACATTATCTTTTATGGTGACATAAAAAGGTACCCCATGTAAGTCGAGGATCCCCATCAAGGTTTATATTCAGTGAACCCCCCGGGCCCTCTGTGCATCAATCTGGCAATTGGATTGCTCCATTTCTTAGATTATGACTCTGATATAAGTCAAAACTCCGACCATATGCACAGTAACATGTAGTTCAACAAGTTAAACCTAGTCTGGGCCTTATTTCTTATCTGACATATCTTGTGGCCCACCTTAGGTTTAACATCCGAGCCTAGTGTATTCGGCCCTTGATGCAAAAAATTTAATGGTGGCCTATTGCAGCACATGCAATTCCATGCACGGCTTGTTAATAACGGATAGTGAGAATTTGCAACCAATGAAAGCATACATGTAGCACGGAAGTTAAACCTAATCATGGCAACAAGAACATTCAGATTAATAAATAAAAACGTGGTATTGGGTTTAACTTGTTGAACTAGGTAACATGTACCAAAAAGATTGAGTCAAATACACCAAGTAAAGAAATGACTGCCTCGGACAGTGCAATCTTGGGGGGGGGGGCTTGGGGTAGGTGCATTAGTGCACCTCTGGGCCTTTATTTATATATCTGAGATTAGTCACTGGCCCAGAGGATCCAAATTTTAAAAATCAACAAATGCTAAAGCCTTCTACAAGGCTAGGGAAGGAGCATGGGCTCTCATACTAGGCCTACTAGTCAAGTTTTCCCTGACATGTGAATTCCCCTGGTTGCTTTCCCAGGAAATCGTTGACTTTTTTCCGTGATTCCAATTCATGAGAGTCCGCCCCCTCCCTGGCTAAATATTTGCAGTTTGTTTGGGCGATAATAGGTGAATTTACTTTGAACTTTGCTCTCTTTTTAATCTGAAGACTATATATTGAAGTAAAAAGCTGCCACGATAAAAATAAATACTTACACACAGTTTGTACAAGTGTTTATAGTACTTTTAACCTTTAATTAGTAAAGCAAACGTAGATAAATATTGGGAGCTCATTTGAGTTAAAAAAGTTAATTGCATCAAATTGGCGAACGACGATGTTTACTAGAGTTCGCACTTTGAATGTCAGTACTCATTCAACCATTTAACTCCAGGCAGCTTCCATAAAGAACCCTTATAAGTTGAAAGCAAAGGGGGGCTGTTGAGGGGCGGCATCAAAATATCAATGCCTGATAGGAAACTAAATAAATTTAGTTGGGGTAGGGGGGGGGGGGTAGACGCACATTTTGGTTTCCTCTTCGGACATTTTAACTTCAATATTTCTACATAAAGTACATGACAGTTGAGCAATATATTTTGAATATGAAGACATCAGATTTTTCCGACTGACAAAATCGTAACTCACTGTGACAACCCCCTGAAACTGGCAACCCAAGGCCTGGTTCACTCGGCTCCCGTCGGTCGCGAGTCCGACGGAACGCAATAATTAAAGGTGCAACAATTAGTGCAGGGGTCATTCAACGATCATCGACCAGTGTCAAAATATATTTAAGTTTGGATATTTCATCAAGACTAACACATATTTTCATTATCTACAAAGAAACCCCTTAGATGAACATTATTATTCAGCTGATAGTCCTCTTAAAATGTGGTGCATCTTAAAAATCTATAAGTGGGACCTCCTTTATAAAAGTTTTGAACTGAATTTACACTTCTTAATGCTGAAAATAGTTGATACATACATTTTAAGAAAATAGGTACGTTAAAGAATTTTCCCTCTACACGGTCCTTGTTGCCCCTTAAGACCGAGCATGTGCATATGTACATGTAACTCATACCGATAATTGAATCAAATGTATAGCCGTTTTCAATAATCTGCTGCCATTTAAAAATAAAAATATTATACAGTATAATAACTCACCCAAACCAAGAAATCTCGTGATCTTAGATTGTTAAATAAATTTCAGTCCCCGGGTTTTAATCTGGTTCCAATCCAAGTTGGTGATACACCAACTAATTAATTAGACTCTTTATAAACTGACTACTGCATTTTAAAGCGAGCCAATGCCTCAGGGAGATTAATGACAGACAACCTTCATGACTTTTAAAGTTTCAAAATTTTGTTGGTTGTTCCAGTTTTTGACCCTGGGGAGTGACATTCTATATATTGACATCTACGTATAACAGATCTTATCACGGACTAGATTAGCCTACTATTGAGTTGTAAATGATGATTGTCGTAAATATTGAATCATGAACTGGGAAAGGAGTGGTTTTAAAAAAGGGGACATCGCCCGGGGGACATCGTGTTCTTCAGTCCTATTCAGACATTCCAATTGCTTGTACATTAACTTTTGATCAGATATTTCTTTGCCTTTCAGAGTAAAATTAGAATTGTAATTAGGAAAAACACAGGAATGCTTTTCGAAAAGATTGCATTAAAGTGTCTCACATATTCACTCTACTATACCTTGCATTTGGTGTTCATGAGGAACCCATTTGGCTTATTAGTAATGATTATGTATTTGTTTTTATTTGTCTGTTCCTTATTAATGGTTTATCGGTTGAATGTTAGATGTTACTAAGGCACTTTCAAAAATATACTAAATAATACAATTAGACAAACAAAGTATCTTATGCATTTCTAAGTGTTAGGTATAGTAGTGTGATATTCGATCAAAATTTGCCATGCAAACATGTTAGTCTACTTTACTGGCCCCCCTTGCTGTAACAAGGAACCCAAAACACATTAAAACGTAAACATAAACCAATTAGTCACTTCACTATGAAAGTGGGGGTGTTAGCAAATGTATATTAGGTCATAAGAAGTAGATGCTTTGTTTTGCGTCCTGGCAAAATCCAAATCATGCAAGGGTACAAGGAAAACAAACACAAACTCAAGAAAAAAACACAAACTTGTTTGCTGAGAAATATATACATTTTAGGGGCATAAAAAAGGATGACATCCCAATTTGCAGTGATTACAAACACATATCTATACATTTTATACAATATATAAAAATATAGCTATTATTCAAGGGTAAAAAATAAGAAAAAACACAATGTATGTCAAATAATTATAACACTGTCAATTTTGACGCACATCAAATTATCCGCCATTTCATCTGATTTTGAAATGCGATGGTACTTTCAGACCCTTGTGATTGCTATTTGGATGTGTTTTTTCTGATTTACTCAAAATCGTGCAAGCAAGGGGACGCAAAACAGTGGATCTACTTCTTATGGCCTTAGCAGAATACGCTGTGTGCATGGACTAACACAATATCAGTGGTCATTTACTGTGTCAATTTAGTAACCCTTGCATATCGTGCTCATTCAAGTATTGAATAATTTTTTATGATCTAAATGTTTTTGGTTTATAAAAAAAGTGATATATTTTAGTTAGAAATACATTAATTAATATATAGTATTCATTCAAACAGCACTAGAATGCGGGAAGAAAGAGCAATGGTGACAACATGTAGACAGAATTTTCCGTAAGGGTTTCAAACATTTCTGGACACAATCATACATGTATATAGTGTACTGTTATTTTTAGTGCTGTATTTATAGATATAATTTCACGTATTAAAATCATATTTTCCAGCAATGACTTCAAATCCGGAACCACACCCATATCACATTTTCTTCTATAACTCCAAACATGTGTAAACATTGACCATGTGCATATAAATTCAGATTTCACGAGCTCTTTCATATTCGAGTACCTCATACACCCCTGCATGGATTTGAGTTGGATTCGCCTTTTATACGTGAGCCGACACACTCGCAAACGCTGATTGGATAAAGATTGCGAGAATCTTTAACATGTTCACCATCGATATCCTCCGAACACAGGCCTCCAGAACTCGTATCTCCTTTTCTCCCTTTTGGAAGACGGAATGTACGTAGTTAACGTTGCCAGTGGATGATGTCTGGAGCACGGCGCTTACAGGATGCATTTTGCACGCTTGATTCATTTAGGCTATTTTAAGTGCACGTTCTCATGATGCTATGTCTTGTCACAGTTTTACCAACGCCTAATATGTTAATACGATTTATTGTACACGCCGTACCTCTTGCTGACACCGCAAATTCAACTGGGGTTACAAGATATACTTTTAACAAGCGTATTCGCTCAGTCAAATGAAATACCTCTGCAACAATCCTGGCTCATAATTGTACCATAATGACATCTAGCGCGAGTCCAATTTTCAAGAGTATGTAGCCTATTTAATTCAACGAGTTATTTTATTAATTCTTTTCAATAAGAGATGCTCCTTTTAAAAGAAAGAAACGAAACAAGAGCAATGACGTGCTACCATCTATTTTACTAGGAAAAACTGCCTGTATTGTCAAACTATGAAAATTAAATTGGGATTTATATTATAGTCTGCTTTAAACTGATATTAACCACAATCAATCGCAACCAGAGTTCTTTGAATGAATGGTGTGTGTGTAAAGTGCAAAATCTTACATTGTGTCTCCTAAGGTGGGTTCCGAAAAAATTGGGGTCCAAACTCTACTCCTACCCACATAAACTGGGAAATTTAAAGAACAATCTGACATTAATTGTTTTTTAAAATATGGGCATTATTTTTCAAAATTTTGGAGGGAAATTTTCCGGCCCAGGCGCGAAAAATTTAGAGGCCTCCTCCCTTCTAGATTTCGGGCCGGCCCCATTATGATACTCATAGCATCTTTCTGTTTCACCTCAGGGCTGAGAAGATTTGAGATGTCATGGTTTAGCATGATGGGCCCGCCCCTGATGTCTTGACACTTGACATTACGCAAGAAATTGGTTAAGCATGGAAAAAACATGTG